CAAGTGTTTGATGATAGAAAAAGGGTGGCAAAAGGTAGTAGTGAGTAAGCGAGCTCGTTTATCAAAACAATCTTTTGGACCTCTCATGTCTTGTACTTGTCTTTGGCACTTTAATTTGCTAGGTGGAAGGGTTATAGGTGGTTGAGCATAAGGAGATATATGGGGGGTTTGGGTTTGGGTTTGGGTTTGGGTTTTGATTTGTGTGTGTGCGCGCACTGTGGAATAAGATGTTGCTGGTCGACCATTCCACGTATATGGACTGTGTGAGAGACCACGTCTAATTTTCTCCCACGTTTTCTAACATCAAAATCGTCTCACACTGCCACCAAAGATGACTCCAACAACTCCAAACCATTTAACTTTGATGCATATCCTCAACTTTGTTTGTGGGATACCCCACCCCACCAATTCCTTTTATCTAGTATTATATTACCATCATTGATAAGATCACTTCCCCACTATTGCTAGTTTTTTTTTTCCTACTTCGATTCATTCCCACATCCCCCTTTTTCTTGGGCTTTTTATTTTCTCTTTCTTAGTTTTGTTCTTCGTTTCATTGATTGCCCCCATCACCCTGTCTTTTTGATTGTTCTTAGTGTAGTGACCTTTTTTGTTTGCTTGCTTTTATGTGAATAATTGGCTCATGCGCCGCTATAGTACCAAGAATGTATGTGTGTGCATGATAGGTAATGGGATCCACCTTTAGACAATAGTGTCTTTGTTCCTTGGAAGAAAAAGAGGGTTCCCCTTTAGATTGCTCAACCACAAGGGCCTGTTCGGGTACAATAAACCACTCCTCTCATGCTTCAATGCCAATAACTTCGATGCCACCGACTGTACCATATGCATGAAAAAGCTGGAAATTGCCCTGCGAGGTCGAACTATCACTGATATTAGCTATTAGATATTTTAAGTGACATAAATTCAAGATTCGTTTCAACATTATTTGAGGTCATGTTTTGGGGGAAGGAAAATCAATCCAATATCTATGTAATGCGATGCATCATGTGTAATTTCTGAACATGTGTTGCACGACCAAGCTAAGATTCGAAATATTAATAACTAGTACTGCTCGGATTTAGTTTCTTTCTGTTGTCTAGTATTTTACTTTTTTCATAATCTTATTTGAACGATATCTAAGTACGCATAAGAATATGTAACAACAGTGTCCTCTTATATTGCTGTGTAAACTTGAGCAGAAAAAAAAAAGTTTTAATATGGCCTCACAAATTTATAGATAGGTTTTAATGCATACAATTTGATGTATTTCTTGCACATGTTAAATAGTTTAATATCATTTTTTTAATAAACATTATAAAGGCACGTGTATGTGAAAAAAAATGCTTTAACTTAAAAGTTACATTTATTTTTTAAAACAACTTTTTAAAAAGTTGATAAGATAAGCGATATTTTTTTTTAGAAAAAAAAACTAAATTGAATAAAACACGCTCTAACTCTATGAAAAGCTTAATCTAATCAACGTGGTAGTAGAATTTGGTTTTTGAATTCAAATTTTCTTTCTTTCTTTTTGCCTTTAAATTTTTAGTAAAAATTAACAGGAATAGTTCGTAAATTTAGTGATGACTCGGAGAAAGAATTTCAGGCTAAAATGCAAATTAAAAGCGAATTAATGACAAGTAGAAACAGCAGCCACTGTTAGTGAAAGATTGTTCTAATTTATCCATTTATCGGTCTTTGTGCGTCAATGTTCGTTGGCTTAAATGACTTTCCATCATCAAAAGATTGATCTTCCTCAATTGAAGACCAAAATTTAGTCTTGACATAAATAAATTACTTTTACCAGTAGTACCATATAGGATTGCCTTTTAAGAGTTGGTCTTCTTTGAATTTGATGATGACTAGGTAATTGAGATTTTGTTCTAAATTAAGTCAATAAAACAAAGATTCCCTCTCTTGAATGTACACACATTGTTTATTTACTTTGTTATTTTAAAAGTATAATAGAGTTGGTCATGTCATGATTTCGATTGTGTCACTCGGATTAATCTTCTTATCATAATTTTTATGTGTAATAAAATCGACTCAGGATCCCAAAGATCTCCTTTTATCTTATGAGGGTCAGAATTATTGTCTACATACTATGTATATTGTTCTTTCTCCACGCTTTCTTCGAGTTCAAGCTAACAGGTCGTTAATCCATGACTTTTAATAGGGTTTTGTTAACTTGATCTTTTAAATTGAGTTTAAACATTTATTAATAATTCTTATATAACAAAATAACATATTTATTATATCAAAGTTAACAATTTTGTTTTAATAAGGTTAAAAATCCAAGAACGTGAGACAAATGTTGTGTAAAAGAAAATATTAGAGATTTTATCCGTTTTCTTTTGAACTTTAGCCTCTTTGCACTTTGCTGTATTTTATTGGGTATGCGATTTGATTGGCGATCTTCGTGGTGCTTTCAGCCGTCTATGAATCACAACTGAAGGGGAATAAGATCACTCTCTCCGAATGCAAATCACTACAAATAATGCTTTTTCTTTGACAATATGATGCCTTCCGAAGTTTAGTAAAATAAAATTTTATAGAAATAGTCTCGGAATTAATAAGTACTTTAGTAGATGCCGTAAAATTCAAGAATATTATATGTTACAGACATGCTAATACCCTGTGAGTCACCTCTATCTATTTTACTCATTTATAACTTTATGATTATAAAAGTGACTCTATCAAAGGGGGACCATACGTTTGTATAATTTTACATTTGTTTTTTCTCCAAAAGCAAATGAAAGGGTTTTATGAATTTATGTTGAGTGTTTTGTGATATGAAAGCATCAATCCTTATGTCTTTAGGACGGGTACTTATGCCCGGAATGATTGCGACGAGGCATTATGCACCACTATAATATTTGGAGCATAAATGGCTAAAGTTTATTCTTATTTAGAGGGAAGGACGAAGGAGTAGAAGACCTCTATGAGTGACACATGTCTAAAACTCTAGTTAGTCAACAAGGTAAAAGAGGCTTTGAAACTTATTTGGCACTTGGTCTTCAAGTTCATCTGTTTCTATACAACTTGCGCATGTGTGTCTTTTAAATTTATTTTAAGGAAAAAAAAAGAAGATGATGATTATCCTAATTAATTCGGTTTGCTCTTTGGTTTTCGAACAAGGTTGTCTAATTCAGGGGTAGGGGTGGGGCAATCGCACCCCAAACCAAGTTTTTATTTGAATTACCGTATGTATTTTTTTTTCTTCAAATAAATGAAGTCTACTTGATCTCTAAAAGGTTTAGAATGAAGATGTGTAAATGAATTATGTATTTGACACCCCACTAAATTTTTTTTATAGTTTTGCCCTGCAAGATGCTACCTAGCTACGAATTGTAAGATTTTTTTTTGTCCAGAATGAAATGGTTCTCTCTTTTTTCAAGAATGAAATGATTCTGTTTTTACTGGTATGAAAGGATTTATGGACTGATTCTCTCTCTTTTCCTTCTATATCATTTGAGTAGTGGAAGATTAGGATTCTTACAAGATCACAAGTTCTCTTTTTTTGGTATTAGTCGGCTTATTTATTGTACTTCTTGAACTTTCAAGAAATTGTCTTATTTAGAATTATCCAAATATTAAATTAAAACGACTCCACAGGGAACATTGCACTGATAAAAATGAAGGAATGTACAAATAAGTATTTCCCGCATGCATATTTGCTTTTGATAATGCACAGCATCAAATGATTGCTTTGAAATAATGTAGCTTTTATTTCTGACCTGACTTGGAATAATGTAGATTTTAGTAACAGTAATGAAAATTCAATGCATATAATTACACCCGAAAGGGGTTCTTCTGTTCCCTTTTTTTTTGGGGTCAAATTTTGTCTCACTTTCGGCAGCTTAATGTTGGAAGCAGCTGTAGGGTATTGGGCCATGGGCCTTCACTTATATCTATAGTGACTCGGTTTCTCCATGAGCTATTGTTAAGAAATCAGTTCTCCAAGTGCTCATCATAAGATCCGTGTTGATTCTTATTTGGGCCTTAACCGAAGCCCTTGGCAGGTTACATAAGCCTTTCCTTTTGTTAAATGAAATATATCATAAACAAGGCCTTTACATATGTCATGATGATACAGTATTGGGAAAACGCCAATGTCATCTCCGCCACCACGTGTTGGGGCTCCGTCTCTAGGCTTTTTCTCTTCAATGCTTCTTTTTATACAAGACTGGAAAGATAAACAAGAACTACAATTTATATATACTTTCGAAAATATGTTTTGGAAAATAATTTTTATCCTGTAATTTAAAATTTTAGTTCCAAGGGAAAAAATTGCAACGAACTAGAAAAAGACAACAAATACCACCCAGAAAATATATCAGAAGCAAAAAATTGATTAATATGACATCTTTATGTCCCTTACATAATGAAAGAACACAGAATCAATGAAAACGCTACTAAGATATGATGACATTCATGTAAGACTCTTGAGAGTTCAAATACATTATATGTGAGGGTTTTTAATTAAAGGGCATTATAGGAAACCAAGCAGATTTCATCGTGCTAATAGGTGATTTCTTTGTTGTCCAAAAATGCCCCTTGATGGTAACTTGTCGGCAAAACAAATGAGGGAGAAACCAAAACAACAAAACTTGCCTGAAACATCTGTGCCTTTCAGTAAAAATTGTCGGATTTGTTCTGTACTATGCCTCTACATTTCTCCTTGCTTCATTTGTAATTGCGTGTTCGTTAGGTTAACCAGTGCAAGTTGCAACTGGTTTCCGGGGCAATGTCGTAATATCTGTTAAATTGCTGATATTGGCAGTTCTTAGGAACTCTCCTGATTCCATGAGCATCTAAAACACGAGAGCCTCGCTGATCCTATTACGATGGATCTATATCCCCATGATTGTTTATTTAAGGTAAAGTTGATTTGTCCATTTTCTACTGTTATGTTTTATGGTTGGGGACAATATATTTTTCACCACCCAAGAAAATTGAAGACCGTCTAGCTCAGAGTCAAATCTAACAACAGATTTCGCTAAAGTGACCAAAATCTAACAAGACACGTCTTTCTTTCTTTCAGGAGGAATCGGTGGGAAGTTACTGCATTTACAACCATAGAAGTACATACATAACGTAATGGTGGCAGTTCTGCACTACTTGTACTAATTTGTCTCGACCTTTTTATTTATCAGATTGGAAATATAAAAAATATTTCAACACTAACACTGTAGTAATATGATACAAGGGTTACTTGACAAGGGAAGCTAGAACCCTGCGAGGTGGATGAAATGATCTTCTGGAATGAAGTACAGCCCAATTATCAATGAAGAGAAGGTCCCCTTTTTGCCAAGGAATGGCAACAGATTCCTCCTCCAATATGTGGAGACAATCATAAACTATGTGAGCAGGTAATGCCTCCCCATCCCCAAACGTAACAGCCTTAACAGGATCATTCAGTTCATCTTCCCAGCCAGTATAAGCAGCCACCATGCTATTAAACCATATCTTCCGTTTTCTCCTCTCATCATACTTCACACCAGGGATCGGACCCATCACTGTCTTCACTCCATCTTCCAACCATTCTAGCTTCATTCCCAATTTAGCAGCCCTTCAAAATCAAAAAACAATTTTTATTTTATTTTTCATATAAAATAAATAAATAAATAAATTGAATTTTCTATTGCAAGTGCAAGAAGTTATATTAGAAATAATTTTTATTAAAAAATATAGCATTTAATAATCTTAATACATTGAAATTTACAACTTTTAATATAAATTTACTATCCTGATCAGAAAAATGATAAATAAATAAACAATGGGAGATTTTGGATGAATTGCACCTTTGTTGAGCGATGGACTTGTCACTGGTCAAGAAAGTTGACTTCCAGCCACGGCCAATGGGAGAAGAGGGGTTATCGTCTTCTCCTAAAATCCTGGTGTACAACAAACCATGCTTCTCTAGTTTCTGGACGAAATCAGGGTACTTCTCCTTCATCCTTTCATATACCAAATGGCTAAGAACAATGGGGGTTTCGCCCCCACTCGCAGGCTCCACTTCGCAGAAGAAGAACAATTTGGAAGGGAATTCAGGAACCTGAGCCATCTCGTGGTGGAAAGGGATCTTCTGATCGGGTGGGGATTCATTCGCGGTGAAGACGCGCCCCACCACGTTGGTTCGAGGAGCGGCGCCACCCACGTAGGGAAGCTCATCGTAGTCAAAGGCTTCGACGACGTCGTTGAAGTGAGATGCGGTGGTTAAGGGGAAGCCCCTGAAAAGGACGGCACCGGATTGGAGTAGAAGTGATTCGATGAAGGATTTGTTGGTTTTGATGGAGTGCGTCAGAGGGTTCGCAGTTGCGGGAGACACTACTGCAGGGAACGGAACTCCGTTTACAAGCTTCTGCTGAGGAACTTGGATTTCCACAAATGCACCTTCCATCTTTTTTCTTTGATAACTTCACAACAACACAACGCTACAAATTCAGGGTCATCTTCCCCGTAACGTAACCATCTAGACGGAAACTGCGACCAGGTTCAACAGCGCCACTCAGTGGCCCATATCACTTCATGTTTGGGCCCATATATTGGGCTGGTTTTCTTCATGCATGCTTTATTAGTCCAAAAATGAAAGAATTATGGACCCGGCTAAAAACAACACGAGGCCCTTTCTGATGCAAAACAAAAACAATTGTAGAAAATTATCGTAACTTGGAAGAATATAGCCTATAACTTAATAAAATTTTAAAAGAGAAAAGTGAAAAACATGTGTCAGTGGGGACCGCGGGGTGGAGCAGTGCATCAGCTTCTTAAACCCTACACACTAACTACTTTATTGTAGTGTATCTGTGGATTGTGATTGTGAATTCTAAACCCTCAGTTATCTCCCATGGCGGAAACCACTCAATTGACTCGCCACATTGAGTCCTACGTTGACTCCTCTTCTTCTGCTGCTCACCAGGTAACTTCCCTCCATTCCTTCTCCTTACTTGTAATTCCTTCTTCCCTCCCATTTCAATGATCCACGTTGTTGCTTTGCTGATTGCGCTTATGCACTACAGGCTGCAAGTTTGGACGCAATTGCCTGTCTCGTAATCGCTGACGCTTTACCTCTGGAAGCACTGGTACCTTTCACTTCGCTTTCTCTTATCGTCACTCCTTTTCTTTTTATCCTAAACAACCAAATTTACAGAAGTATAACTTTCCATGTATTCGTGCTTGCTTATTTTGTGTCTTTGCTTAACTTGTCTTCGTTTTTCCTGTTTCAAAATTTAGGTTGGAGAGTTAGGGATGTATTTGACCACTACAGATAACGTTGTACGCGCAAGAGGTGCCGTATTTATTTATTTATTTTAAAGCTCAAATCATGAACAAGGGTAGTGAACCGAACAAAATTGTGATGAATTATGTGTCATTAGGAGGTTATAACCGATGTTGCATTTGATTGAATTTTCTCGAGCTTAAATTTATGCTAGTTTTGTACAAATTAACATTTATATAGACAGAGACAGAGGTGTTCTCTAATCGTGCATTTTCATGTATTGGTGTCATTTAGATAGTATGTCTTTAGGGGAATTTGGATTATCTTCTTATTAATGAATATCTGAATGTCTCTTGGAAACATTTCTTCAGGAATTCTTCTTCTGGCGGAGGTTCTTACTCGTATTGTATCAAAACCACTTGGAAGTGCAGCTATACACAGCTTGGTTGAATTCTTCAAGGACAGACTGGTCAGTACGAATATTTCTTCTGCTGCATGACTTTTTAAAGTTCTTGGTTGTGACTTTTTCTAAAATTTTGTTCTATCTTGTATCTGTCACCCGCTTTTTTATTCCTTCTGTTTATTCCTGCAATTCCTTCTCCATTCCTATTTCCATATCATTGGGATTTCATTCATGGTCCAAAGCTTGATTGGAATCGGATTGAGCTGATTTCATGGTGGAGATTGAGGGGCTTGAACTTGATGTTATGTTTATAAGCTTTAAATTACCAAGACTCTTCCTTACGGATAACATACTGAGGTTGCATAACTTTGTTTCATTTATTAATTTGAAAAAATTCAGATGTGTGATTCATTAAATCAAGCTTGATAGTTTTCTTAGTTGTCTCAAGTTTTGACTTTTGATATTTTATGAAACTTTATGCACATTGAGCCTTGAGCATTGCTGATTAAACAGGATCCTTTTGCATTTTGACTTTACAAAAGTGTCGTGATTGGTGATCTACGTTCTCTTTTATCATATCCATTTTTCTCACTAGATTTTCTAATAGCATAAACAATATAATATTATTTATTATCAGGCAGATTGGAGAGCAGTACGAGGTGCACTATTGGGTTGCTTGGCGCTGATAAGGAGAAAAAGTGTTGTGGGTACGGTAACTTGTAGTGATGCCACAGCCATTGCTCAGTCTTTTTTACAATACTTGCAAGTTCAATCTTTAGGACAGTTTGACAGGAAGGTAAATCATTTTTATGGCCAAAAAGCCAATAAATTTAAAGCTTCTGCTGTACTTAGAATTATCCCTAATCAGAAAGGACATTAAAAATATTTTTGAGAGAAAGATAGTTTCATAAAAAGAACTCTGTTAAAAGTAAATATAACCACTTGGAGCAATTATATATTGGCTTCAATTTTCTTACCAATTAATCTGACTCTGACTGTTTATTGTTATGTTATGGTAAATATTTTTCTATGCAGTGCTTCTGTAGTTCTTGCCCTTTTCTGATTGCATTTAGGCTATATTTGCTTGGCATCTCATCTTTATACACTCTTTGTTTCTGTACTGCAGCTATGCTTTGAACTGCTTGATTGCCTGCTAGAACACTACTCTGATGCTGTTACACCGCTGGTAGTCCTAGCTTCCCTAAACTTCTATATAGCAATAAATAAAGCTAAAAGAGAATGAATGTCGTGAACATTTATTATTCTGTTTGATGATATTTAATGTCACTTCTTAATTTCAAATGTATTTTCTGATGTTGGTTTTATTTAACACAACTACTTCCCTTTCTTCCTGCTGCCACTTCTCTGTGCATACAATATATATAACCTGCGAGTTTCTCAGCTATACCTTTAGCTGAAGACAGCATAGTTGTGAAGCTAATGTGAGTGGGACTAGTCTATACAGCAGGTTGATTAGTGTTGTGGTATCTCATATTTTATCACCTTGAGTACTTAAGAAACATCATGTAGATTGTCTATGTTGAGAAGAATTACTTCGTTTATTATATGTCCCTTTTCTTCTCTTTATAATAGCAAGTTAGATCAATTTTTGATTTATGTGTAACTGCACAGATCTACTTCCTACTCTCAAAAGTTTCATTGCAATCCCATTTTGTTATACAATGATTGTTTTCCATGATTGAATATTAATTCATGTTTTTAAAATATGAATTATTTGTAATCTTAAAGACTTTTATTTGGAGTGTGTTTGTGTTATGCTTATTTTGGAAAAATAATTGCTTTTTTTCCCCTGCATTGTCCTGAGAGAACTCAAAAAATTCTCCAAAAATATTTGTTCTCAAGCATACTTGTAGTATTTTAAAAAATATAAGTGTATCTTTCTTGTTTTACTTAACTTGAGGTGCATATAGTGGAACTCAATCTATTGCTTTTTTGTATACAAGTAAATATTATTAGGGGTATAAAATGGTGATGTACAAGGGCAGAGGATAATATATCCAGCTAAAAAGAATAAAAATATGATGGCCAATATCTGACTTACATTCTGTTATCACAAAGATGTAATCTATGTAAGCCAGCTTTTACTCATAACTATCTAAAAGACTTTACAGGTTTGCTGCTGATACCTCTATGACATCAATGGGCTATCTTTTCCCCTGTAATCTAATAACTTATTGCTTCTTTGCTCTATTGTAGGGGGAGGACCCTATTTATGGGATTTGTGAAGCCATAGATGCTGAAAAAGATCCAGAATGTTTAATCCTCGCTTTTCATATTGTTGAATCTTTGGCACAATTATATCCTGATCCATCTGGTCTACTTGCAAGCTTTGCTAAAGATATTTTTGATATTTTAGAACCATACTTTCCCATTCACTTTACACATGTAAGCTTAATCTTTCACATATCTTTCTCATTTAGCACCTTCCATTTATATGTACTGATTTCTGTGCATCACTTAAGCATGTATGTTTCAGACACTTGAAGAATTTGGTTGGTGTGAATGCTTGTAGACCTATTTTGCACTTATGTTGCCATGCCATGTTATATTGATGATGGAAGACTGTAACAGGATGGACATTTTTTGCGTAAATTTCTTATTAAACTGCACTATGCCTAATTCACTCTAATAAGCTTGTTTGATAAAAGGGGGGTTGCCCAACTCTAATCAGTAGTATTTTGGTTATATTCTTAATGTGGAATATCTTAATAAACCACCCTTACATCCAGTGTTAGACATTTGAAGTTTGCAAAATTAGACATTTGTGGGTGGTTTAACATTAAAATTGGATAAGCTCTAATACTGTATTAGAAATGAACCTAGCTTAACTCACTCCTAAAATCTATCTCAAGGGGAGAGGATTGTCCAAGTTTTATAACGAGTATTTTGACCATAATTTTAGCCAGTAAGGGACATCATAACATATCTATTCTCACTTTGTATTATTTATTTGTAATCTCTGTTTCTTTTCCAGCCAATCAGTGGAGATACTCACTTGCTAAAAGATGACTTGTCAAGGTCTCTGATGGTATGTTGAACTATCATTCAGATTTTGTGGTGATTTGCTTTAAATAGTTGACATTGTCTTATAATTAATCATTTAGTCTTTGATGTGAACCTCTGGAATTTTAAAATTATTACTTCATTTTCATTCTCACTCTTGCTCTCATTTTTTAAATTCAAAAAATTGCTTTTATAATATAAGCTAATTATTTTACTTTTCTGCAGTCTGCATTCTCTTCTACTCCTCTTTTTGAGCCATTTGTCATTCCTCTGCTTCTTGAGAAACTTTCTTCTTCCCTACATTCAGCAAAGGTTGGTATTAATAATAGATTATCATTTTATTTTTTATGCTAAATTATCTGCATAAACGCCTGTACACTTTTTTAAAAAAAAAAATTTAATCAGTCATATTTTTCTATGTTTTTCTGCATTCAGATTGATTCTGTAAAATATCTTAGAGCATGCTCTTCCAAGTATGGAGCAGAGAGAATGGCAAAATATGCTAGGGCTATTTGGTCTGCATTAAAAGACACCATCACTACCTATTTGGAGGAGCCAGATTTTTCTTTTACTCTAGCACCCATAGAAGGTATTGGCTTTCCAGAGAATGAAATTGTGATGGAAGCTCTGTCCCTCCTTCAGCAGCTTATTGTGCAAAATAGCAGTTTGCTAGTTAGCTTGATAATTGACGATGGCGATGTCAACATTATTATCAACACCATTGCCTCTTATGAGATATATGATGCTATTCCTGTGCAAGAAAAGAAGAAACTACATGCTGTTGGTCGTATTCTCTTTATTGCTGCCAAGACTACCATTTCTTCTTGCAATGCAGTGTTTGAAAGTCTCTTCTCCAGAATGATGGATAATTTGGGATTTTCTGTTACTAATATCGATAGCTTGGCAAATGGTGATACTTTTCCCCCTTTGAGAGTTAAGTTTGGATTCCTTTATCTCTGCATTGAACTACTTGCAGGATGCAGGGAATTAGCTGTTGCATCTGAGGAAGCAGCACTGCAACATGTTTTTGAGCATGAGACATTTTGCACTATGCTTCATAGTTTTTCAACTCCATTATTGAATGCCTTTGGTTCAGTATTGGCAGTAAGTGCTGACAGATGTCTCCTTGATCCAGATATATACGTTGGAGGTAATTGCTCTTTTTTATTTGAGAAATTTTTTTCCCGTAAGTACTCACTCTTAGTTTCTTTTCCATAATTTTCATCATATTTTGTTCAATTTACTCTGAAATAGCTATCTATGAGAATGTGTCATGAAGTGATGATGTTTTTCTATTTTTGATAAAAGATATAAGTTTTTAGAAAGATGGGAAAGAAGCATATTTGGAGAGGATAAGAAATCCTTCTAACAGAGAAAAATAGCAGCAAGCCAGAGTGGCTCAAAAATGCAGCAAAGCTTTCCAATCTTCATGTCAACAAAGCAAATCCATAAACCCAATCCCATACCATTACAAATCTAAGGTAAAAAGGAATTTTTAAAAATACAAAAATTCCTCTCAATGAAATAATTGTAAAAATTGCGCACTGGCATAAAATCAGAGCCTCCTTATTGTTGTCAAAAGTCAAAACTCAACCTTTGCAATGTATCATGAGAAACTGCTCCAAGATGAAACAACTAACTTGGCAATATTCCTTAAAAAAATAACTATCTTAAATTGCAAAATAAACAGGCTACTGTTTCTGAGCAAGAACATATCACATAGGGGAAAAAGGTGATATTTTTTATGTGATTAACCCTATGAAGTCTCTATGCAAAAGAGTTGACAGTGGAGGGAGTTTTGGATTTCCACATTGGTTTGACAAGGAGAAGACTCTGATAAATAGTTGAGTGAATCAAGTGTTGGAAAATCAATTATATGAGAAAACACCAAAAGAATCCTCTGTTTCTCCTTTCTGGATTGAAGAATAGGCAAGTATAAATCAAGGAGAAGCAGAAGATACTTTCCCACATAATGAACTCCTAGTGTATTACTTATGTGGCCTTAATTATGCCTTGTAAGTTGATTTTAGCGTTTGTCCATTTGTTCTGTATTCAAAGAATACACTTAGATAGGTCATTCTTCCTTGGCTGAACAGAACAATATGTAGTCTGTCAACTCTCAGGCACGTATTCAGTGTGGATTTACCCACTTCCTTCTGAAGCAGTCCATCCTTTGAAGTTGTACATTCATAATTTATCATGGCCTGGCTGTATTAATTATTACCTATTTTCTATTCGACATAATCCATAATTGGTGGTGCATATTGATGATGTACTGAAGTTAAAAAGAATAAGTTTTCAATTTTTTAGTGTCACTTCAGAATCTGATTAATTAATTTTGATGCCAAATTCTTATTATTTAGTTTAGGTGTATAAAATCAGATTGCTGGTTCTGGCAGATTGTTAAACTAAAATTATCTCGTTTTCATTTCTGTAGACTCTATTACGTTTAAATCATTAATTAGAATTCAGAACAAAGTTATAATAACTTGAGTGTTCAGGATTTATGTTTATGTGTGAAATGTATGACCCAAAAAAGTTATAAAATATCCAGGCATTTACAATTTATTATGTGATGCACATTTATTATTTGAATCATGATTTTGTGAGTTTATAATTTCTTCACATTGCTGAATCCTTTTTTATTGTCGGTACTGATATGCAGTGAAGGGTTTGCAGATACTTGCTATGTTTCATTTAGATGTTTTTCCAATACAAAAATCAATATTCGAGAATATTTTGAAGAAATTCATGTCAATTATCATAGAGGATTTCAACAAAACAATATTGTGGGAAGCAGCATTGAAAGCTTTATTTCATATTGGCTCATTTGTTCAAAAGTTTGATGAGTCTGAAAAAGCTATGTGCTACAGGAGTTCTGTTGTAGAAAAAATTGTGGAACTTCTGTCTCTGGACAACACTAATCTGCCTTTTTCACTCAAAGTGGAAGCATTATCTGATATAGGCATGACTGGAATGAAAAATATGCTGACAATTCTTCAAGGTTTGGGAGGAGCTGTATTGGCCAATCTATCTAAGGTTTATGTATGTATATAACTTCAACATTCTATCTGATCCTTTGAAGGCATCTTAGAATATTATTTCACTTTTAGAATGTCCTCAGGTTTATTTTGTCATTGGCTGCTGCAACATTTTTGCTTGTCGTCCTTGTATTATTGTGGATTTAAATTTTTGGATGTGATTGTAACTTTCTGCCATTTTTTTCATCTAGGTCCATAGAAATTTAAGGTCTTCAGAAATTGCTCTTCAGCTTTTGGAGTGCTATTCTTGCAAGTTGCTCCCATGGTATTCAACTCTTCAGGGCTTGTATATTATATTCATTTTGCTGCAACTATTTCAATTCTCTTCGCTATGATATGAAAATACCTGATATTTTGTATTTGAATTAAGGAAGAGCGGACTAGCTTTCAGTTTGTCTAATATTACCAATATAATGCTATTCTCTGTGCTAGGAGCAGGGAGGATTAGCATCTGACAAAATTTCCTATTAATCTGATTGTTTGAATTGAATCTGGGCAGGATCCATGAAAATGGAAGTTCAGAGGATTTTGCAGTACAATTTGCTATGGACATTTGGAGTCAAGCAGGAAACTGCATGGATTTCAGTGCTCCATTTGAGGAAAAGGTTATATAACCGTGACCCTCATCTATTCCTTAAATATTTTATGAATATAATTAAAATCCTGAACTTTTTATTACATACTTGCAATTAAATATAAAATTCAAGTAGTAAATGATCATTTTTTCTATTTTGTGCTTCAGGTTCTTCTTGATGCAATGATGAAAGCAATGAAACTTTCTGTTGCAAGTTGCTCTATAGAGAGTCAAAATCTTATAATTCAAAAAGCTTACAGTATACTATCATCGCATACCAACTTCCGGCTTAAAGAAGTGGAAAGATTACCACTAACTCCTGGAAAATATGACATTTCCCTTAGAGATGAATGGATACTTTCATTATTTGCATCAGTAGTTATTGCAGTTTGCCCCAAAACACACATTCCAAATATAAAAATACTTATGCATTTATTTATAATAACCCTCCTCAGGGGTGTTGTTCCAGTTGCACAGGCCTTGGGTTCCATACTTAACAAATTTGTTTCAGTATCCAACAGTGCAGAGAACCCTAGCGATCTTACTCTGGAAGAAGCTCTGGATGTTATATTTAACACAAAAATATGGTTTTCTAGTATGAGCAATGGAAGTAATGGGAATGAAATGGTTCTTACTAAAATATGCCTGGGCATTGCAAATGATAGGTTGCTTCAAATCAATGCCATTTGGGGGCTCTCATGGATTGGAAAAGGTTTACTTCTGCGCGGTCATGAAAAGATTAAAGACATCACTATGATTTTTGTGGAGTGCTTAATATCAGCCACAAAGACTGCCTTGCCTTCAATCAAAGATTCATTTGAAAATACTGAAAAGCAGATTCAGGATCCTTTAGTAATGAAATGCGCTGCTGATGCTTTTCATATTCTTATGAGTGATTCAGAAGTTTGTTTGAACAGAAAATTTCATGCCATAATACGGCCTCTATATAAGCAACGATTTTTCTCTTCTATGATGCCTATCTTTCAACAGTTGATTACAAAATCTTATTCTTCACTGTCCAGGTAGATTTATTGTGTTCTCACTCAAAATAAAAACTATTTTTTCCTCCTAGTGGCATTTGTCAGCAGCATATTTTTATTATTTTGATGCCATATTGACTAGAATTGTGTACAAGGTCCCCTTATACATACAAACACTGCAGTATTGCCAATTTGCCAATGAGCTGTTTTGACTGAGAGTTTTGCTTTTGTCCTGTCTCTCGCTCCCCAACAAATGTCTAACCTGCTGTTTTGCACAATCTCAGATCTTTCTTGTATCGGTCTCTAGCGCATATCATTTCAGATACTCCACTGATAGTTATATTGAATGAAGCTAAAAAGGTTAGTTTGAGAAATTTTAAACTATTAGCAATTACATATCTTCATTTATCAGACTAATTATTTTCTTTTTCTATCAAAGCATATTGTGTTGGGCTTTCTTGATCAACCAGTTTTAATTCAGTTAGTTCCCTGGCAAATTTTGCAGCTCATACCAATTCTCCTGGATTGCTTGTCCCTGTTAACAGAAGATACCCAAGATAAAGATATCTTGTATGGTCTGTTGCTGGTCTTATCTGGGATATTGACAGAGAAAAATGGTAATTATGATGTTTATAGTACTTAATTTTGTATTATCTGAATTTATAGGGTTAAGACATAATGGTTTAGTGTAATTTGAATTTATTTTCCTTTTGTTTCTTTTTATGATTTATTTGCGGGAAAGAAATTGGTTCATTGTAAGGATCAATTGTGATTTAATAAAAATTTTCACAAGGATAATCCACCATTACACTTGTTGCTAGATTCTGGTCCAACATCTGGTATTTGCAGTTACTAGTTTCCGGAACCTTGCTGCACTTGGCTTTGTATAGCTTCTACTTGTGTTTTCAATTGTGTTTGGGACAAATTTGATAATGATAATGTTATGTTTGGCAAGAAGAACGACTAATCTGTAGATATACTGTCTTATGTAAACTCTATTCATGCATGCAGGACAAGAAGCTGTCACTGAGAATGTACGTATTATCATCAGTTGTCTGATTAAGCTTGTGGACTACCCTCATAAAACGGTATCAAAATTTAGCTATAGAAGTTATTTACTGCCTAAATTTGCTGACTTGAGTTGTAAAGGAGCTTTATTCCCTGTTAGACATGCCAGTTTCTTTCTTCTTCTTCTTCTTTTTTTTTTTTCTGGTCTGGGGGTGGGGAATTTGTGATGGCAGCTTTCAGTCCCGTCCATTTAGCTACATATCCTGCTAGCTACTACTTGAGCTACATTTCGAGGACAACATGACTGTTCGAATAGTCTAGACATGTTGACAATTGTAGACTCATTCTAAATTATTACTTGCAAAGGGTTTCTACTGTAGAATTCCTGCCAAAACCTTTAGACTCCTCTCATCACTTTGTTGTCATCTTATTGTCTAGAGTCTAAACCAATCAAAGTCAAAAATAAAAATAATGTTAATGGTAGATTTCTCCTTATTTGTGCAGCTTGTTCGAGAGACAGCTATTCAATGCCTCGTTGCCTTGGCTGAGCTGCCCCATACTCGTATCTATCCTATGAGGACACAGGTTTGTCATGCTTTTAGCTTAAAAGGTTGATTTTTAGTTGTTGACAAATATTCTTTTTTATCTTTCTATCATGACTTGAATAGAATGCTCTTCTGCTTTTTTCACATTCCATTGTGTTCAATGCTTTGAATCAACGTGTTCAGAGATATATTGTGCGAGTTATTGACCTGTTTTGTATTTTCGATTTTTTGGAACATGGGTGTTAAACGTCTTTTTCTTACTCTTTATGCTTTTCATATCGATTAGGTTCTACGAGCAATATCGATGTGTATTGACGATAGAAAGAGAGCCGTTCGCCATGAAGCTGTCAAATGTCGGCAAGCATGGTTAATACTTAACTGTTTTGGGAATATGTACAAACAATTTTGTTTGGTCGAATAACTGTTGTACTTGCTAATTTGACTTATCTTTGCTTGACTTTTGATAGGGCATCGATGTCATCCAGGAGTCTTCATTTCTGAAGTTCAAAACCAACTTCCAAGGCTTCTGGAAATGCTTTTGAACCTTGTTTTCTGATAGAGATTCTTTCTTCAGATGGAAAATCTGAAATTTTTTTAAATCGTAGATAATAACTTGTAAATATTGTAGGTTATTAATCTTATTGTGCACATCTATATCTGCGTTAACGACTAATAGGTGATAGTTATCAATTTGGTTGTGGATGATGTAAAGGGACAATATTTTTTTATAATTAAAAAATTTAAGTTTAAAATGTTTAAAACATTTTACAATAACAATATAATTTAAAAATAAAAATTATTTCGATATTTTTTTATAAACTAAAACAAAGGCTTTTTTGAATTAAGAACAAAGTTCAATGTTTTTATTTAAAACTTGTTATCCGGGCGAACCGTGTATTATATAGCTTGCATGAAGAAAGGACGAGTTTAATACGTACTACTATTTTTCAAACTACAATAAATAAAATGATGTAAAGAGTTCCACAAGGTTACGAAAAATTTGGTTTAGACAAGGTTTGGCAGACAAGCATGTGCGTCTTTGTATTTTTTGGTAGTATTTTGTCTTGCACATTTGTTCTGTTCACTTTGGGTAGGGATGTGACCCATTTTTCATGTTTTAGATCTTTTAGATCCCCCAAAAAATAAGTAACTGAGAATTGCAATGACATTGCCTTTAATTTGATGGAAAACAGTTCTTCTGTTGCAGTAGTAATAAGAACTAAAAAGCTTTAGAGCAGGTTTCCTTGAACATTTGATAACTAAACAAACATTGGAAGCATAATAATATCCCCAAATGGACAGTGTTGCCCTCAATGCACATTCGTAAACTCTTTACTTGGGTCGAGATGATGTCTCAAGGGGCCCAGCTTGTCGTCTAGCCAACTGCACAAACAAAGGAGCCCAATGACCCAAAAATCAAAAAGGGGCGTTTAGTTTTCCACACGGCTAAAGACAACAAATTCACATGCAAAAGTCGCACTCTATGGTCACCTGAAAATAAGCTTCAAGTTTCTTTTTCAGTGTTTCATGTTCTTTCTTCAGTTGTTGGAAGCTCATCTTGCATCTGTTTATTCACACGCAGCGACAGAACTATCAATATTTAGGACACTAACAAATTGAGTGTCTGGAATTTTATGATCCAAAATTCTACACATGAATGAAATGGTAGTTATTGAGAAAAATAGAGGACGCTTGAGGAAATGCTAGTGTGATCGTTACTGAATGAAAAATAGAGTGAAAGCTAGATTACCCTTTTGCATTTCCTGCCCTGCAATATTCCCTAAACACAACGATTTCTGCTGTCACCTTTTTGGCTCCAATGCTACAAACCCATATCGAAAGAAAAACAATCAAACCATTAGGATTCATTGTAATAAACAAAGCCAACACAGTATGTACTTGATGATATAATATTTCACTCGACGCAACTTATTATTATTACTTTTGTTTTCTCTCTTTTTACTTATGGATGGATTATTCAATTGCGTTTACCTTGAGCTGCTTCCATTAAGCCCGTACATAATTCTTTCCATCTTGTTGAAATCAAGTGGATTCTCCTTCCTGCAACAACCACAGCACCCAATAACACCAACATAGTTTTAAAAAATAAAAATTGAAGCAGAGAATGTAAAGAAAATGCAAAGTATGATGAAAATTGATTAACGTACAGTATCTGCTCCAAGTTCGAGATATTCCCAAGTGATTCGCGGAAGTAAAGGGTCACTATTTTCTCAACAAAATCAGGATTAGCGTCATCCTGTAGTTGTTCCAGTTGGCTAAACTGATCATTCAGAAATCCCTGTAATGGATAAGTATTTGAAATCCCATGATCAACTTGTAACTAAAAACATTATTTTGTATTACGAAATCAATAAATATATATGTGACATTCACGTCTACTACTAGTACTAACGTTGCTGTACTATGCTAACGAAACACCGTGTCATGACTGTTAACAATTCTGAAGTGATCATCCATTGCCATTCTTTCGTTTATTCCTTAATACCCTTAACAATGACGTATTCATCATTAAGACGCATTTCACAAAGTAAAAGGCTGAATGTATAACTTATGGTGTGTGGCAATGGAAGAAGGTGAAGATCACACATCACATGCATAAAAAATGTTGTTAGAATTAGTGAAGAACCTTATCAAAGAGGGACTGTTTCATAGCATTAACCTTGCGTGACTGGTTTGTGTCCATTTTTTCAAATGTAAGAAAACACAGACAATAAAGGCTCGAAATGTTATTGCTGTTGCAGGCCGAAGTGGAAACGCATGAGATGGAAGTGGGGATTGGAGGAGTTTTTATAGCAGCGAAAAGGTGTCCTACGTGTAGGAAGTAGGAAACAGAATATGATGGATTCAATAACGTGAAGAGGGTCACTTCATACGGCACTGTGAAGGAGACTGCAACAGTATCCTCACACTTGCTTTTTCTTACCTTTTGTATTTTCGTTTATACTTACTTTTTTTTTCCTTCTTTTTTGATTTCCTATTGCATTATTTATCTCATCTCTATTTTCTCTCTTTTTTCCTTTTTTTTTCTCTTTACCTTTTTTATCTCTTTCTTACCTACATTCATTTCACGACTCTAAATGGGAGTGTGAAAATATCATTGTTTGGAGGAGTGTCATGGATGGTAAATGGAACAAAGAAAACACACGTTTTACATTTTTCCACACTTATTTTAGAAAGGGTGATGATATTTTGGCATTTCTTAAAGGGGTATTATTTGAGGGTAAAAAAGAAAAAAATAAGAACGGGACAACCAAAAAAGAGTAAGAATGAGATGTAAAAGAAAGAAAATGTGAAAATATTATCATTGTTTTAGAAACTTGAAGGGGATAGGAAGAGAAATGAGTGAGCTGAAATCTCTTCTTTTCAACTTTTATCCTTGTTCCAATATTGAAAGATGTGGATAAGAGGGAAAGTAGTTTATTTTATCCCCCTGAGTATAACAGTATATTATTGATATTTTTCTTTCTTTCTCTTTATTTATTAAAATTTCTTCACTCTCCTTCTCTACTTTCAACTAAGTTAATTTCATGACACCAATTTACAGAAAAAAAATTATAGTAATACTCACAAATAATTTACAAATAAAACATTACTAGCATGAATCGAATTGAACATGCGTCAACCCCTAATAATTAAGTAAAACTTGTTAGCTAATATTTTGTTCAAGTAAATATGCACAAATTGATGGATTACGTACATTTTTAAACAAAGAAGATAGAATGATAACAGCTGATTTAACAGTTAATAGAAGGATTTTTCTAATCTAAGTAAAGATAAAAAATTATATTAATACATTTTTATTAGAAAGAAAAAATTCATAGTAATTCAATACATTATTACTTTTAAATATTATAATTTATAATAAAAAAATATGTATATAATTTCTTATCTTATATAATATTACACCAATATAAAAAATTATATACTTTCATCAAACATATTTAATAGGTAAAGTTAATTTCACTACTTTTACATGACAAGTGTCACATTGTCCATGATTTATATAGAATTAAATACTAATAACTCGTTATTCAAGAAATTAGATTATTTAATTTCATTTTTGTTTAAACAAATTTTGCTTAAATAAAAATAAAATTTTTTACTTTTCCTTCCTTCCCAACTCTCCTCCCTTCAACTCCAACCTCCCTCCTTTCCCTTCAACTCTTTTTAAGTCCCCTCTCCGAATTTTTTCATCTCCTCTTGTACTCTTACTCTTACAATTTTTTTTAAAAAAAATTGATTTTTACTTAAATAAAGTGAATTTGATTAAAAAAAAAATGTTGCGTGAACTAAAATGAATTTAGATATTAGCCAAATTGAATGCAATGATGCAATGGTGAAGACAAACTTGAATTTCGGTTGACTTTTCTACTTGTTTCTATTATATGTTTAGAAACATTGGCTTGATTTATTAATTATCAACGTATTCTGTTAGTGATTCCCAAGTCTAGAGAACCATAGAAAAATGAAAATACTAGCTGTAAGCTTCCTAATTGAAGGAAAGACCATTTGAATGTACGTTAACCTGATAATCTAACAACTTGAAATACATGTATATATCACCGCAGATGCTACAAAAACTTCTCCAACAGCTCTCTTATTGACTAATTAGCATTCTGTTTACGCTATTAGAGTTAACAAGGAAGGGGGAAAATGGGAAAAAAGTTAACACGGAAAAATTTATTGACAGAAAATTTACATCAATGTCATTTCTTTCTCCACAATTTCAGCAAATCAAGATGTTTTGAAGGAGAGAGGTGTGTTAAAGAAGAGATACTCTTTCTATTCTTTCTTTATTCCGAATCCCTTTGTAAAAAGAGTTAAAAAGTCGAATGTCTTGGGTGGGTGAAAGAGGATCACAATCTGGTTTCTCTGTTTTTTCTCTAGTCTGGCAGATTGTTGGTTTTATTTTTTAGTTTTTTTTCTTATCACTCTCTCCTATTTTGATAAGAATCCCACCATGGACAATGCTCAATCTCTATAAGAAACTGATATGTACCATATCAACCAACCCAAATGCAGAATCATTGGTACCAACGTGACCGAAAGAAAAAAGAACAGACAAGTTTACCAAATAAGTACTGCATTTGGCAACATATGATGATTGATGACTTTAAAACTGTCTTTAGAATAAAATTCAGATGTCTTTTAATCAGAAATTATTTCGGCGACGGTAAACTAAAGACTTAGCATAACAGTAAAAATCTCAACACATTCATGTTAATTTTTATACCAGAAAACTTAGCCTTCATCTCCTGTTTCCTACAGCGAGGAGGATCCAATTACATTGAAAGGGACATGATTGCAATGCATAGTGTCCCAAATGAATTAGCTGCTCACAGGACCTGAAAAGCACATCAATTCTTTTCTTTTCTCATCAAGAAATGTGTGCTGATATGAATAATTCAAGCCTGTGGGAATTGATGCGATTATGAATAGGTTAGACAAGGTTGCTTTCTTACTTCTCAGTGGATTTGGGAGGTTATTCTTGTCTGGAAGCATCAACTCTCCTAAACATCTTCAGAATCCACTCTTTGGAAAAACATTGTTGAAATCAACTAGGAATCTAGCATGCCTACTAAAGGCAATTTTTGTTCTGTCTGCCAAACTTTTATTCAAATGCACGAGACAGGATCCTTGTAGCAAACATGGAAAACAGGGAATGATAGGTTATTCGGCGCCCCCTGCTTTAACTTATTTTTCTTTCTTCTCTTGTAAGTACTTGGTGAAAATTATATCCAGACTCACTCTTTATAAAGAAACCTAGAGGAACAGGGACCTCTTGGTGAATATTTGATTATTGAAGCTTTCATTTGTTTACAGTTAGAAAGAATGAATATTTGCCAAGAATTAATCTAACCTGAGCTACATACCACCACATAACTTCCTACAAATTGGAAGATTAAAAAACTAGGGCTCAGAAGGAAAAAAAAGGTATATATGATAGTACAAATGAAAAGATGACCAAAAGAAGGCCTGCTGTCTTCAAGTTCAAACCGCTTGAATTGGATTGTTCTTGCCACTGTTTAAATCTGAACTGCCAACTGGAGCATTTGCATGGAATGCTGACTGCCTTGAGGGCTCCCCTAACAACTTTAAGGAAAGTGGGGAAGGCTCTATGTCAAGTACTTGTTTGTCCCCAATGCTGAGATGCGACATTCCCACAAGTTGATCAACATTCACAGGTTCCTTTGGAATCACCGGGATTGGCTTGAGGACCTGATGTTGGGATTTCTCTCTTCCATTAACTGCTTCAAAGGGAGCTGCAATTGATGGCCATGTGGAAAATTGAACAGGTAAATAAGCAGACATGAATCCATGATGTGCCATTGGTGTCAGTCCATTTGATCCCATCGTAGTTTCATTGGCCTCTTCCATCTTTTCTTGAGAAGTAGTTTCCATGGGTTCAAATTCGGATTTAAGGGAGAGATTTAGTGAAGGCTGTGATTTTCCATTAAAGGGTTGTGAGTTATCGGATGGTGGAAACAGCACTTGTTCTTCTGGCACCGAGGGTGGATCTGAAGACTGACATGTGATTGAAAAAAGTTAGCTAAAGGAAAAAATGCAGATAAAAATTCTACACGACTCATCAAACATCACTCACAATCAATGCCCAGCTAAAAGAAGGATGATCCCATTTGCTTTCATTAGCAAACAAAGGTTTCTGTGAATGTGTCACACTAATAGAAAAGTCTGTCTAAAGCAGAAACCAGTGTCAACGTGCCAAGAAATCCAACACGATCAAGATGTTATCAAGTCATGATATTCAAGCCAAACACATCAAGGTATTCTCCAAAAGTAACATGACATGACATGTAATCAAGAAACATGTAATGGGAATAACAAAAATTTTTAAATTGCTTATAAATTGGAGTTCATGTATTAGCAACCGTGACACTAGTTTGAATTTCCATTTTTTATGAGACAACATATATAGACAAAGGATGTGTACACAATAGTTGGATTAGATATGATAAATGAAGACCAACCATGTCTGGAACCATGTCAAAAAGACTGGAACGTCTCTTTCTCCTGGTAGCATGACTCTGCCGGATAAAATACTTTTGGGCATGACTTGCTACTTGAGTAGGAGTCCTTGATACCACAAACCTACGTGCTATCCCACGCCAGTCTCCTTTGCCCAGCTTCTGGAGACCAATTAAAAACAGCCGATGTTCTTCTTCAGTCCATGGAACACCTAAAACACATAAAAGTATGAATTGAATAAAGCAATCCAGTCAGCAAATACAAAAGGGTACCTAGCTTGCTTAATGCATCAGCTGTACTGAAGAAAATACAATAATCCAAAACAGCAACTAATATCCTTGGAAACACGTCAAATGCAGCACAAAGCTAAGAGGCTGAGACATAAAAAAAAAGAGTTAACAGGTAGCACCAACTCTGTATTAAGGTGTCAAGCTGAAGATGTTCCAAATATATGTAGCCTGTTTGACATATTTACAATAAACTTGAACTCGAAAAAACAGCTAAACAAACAATGCTACTTAAACTAGTTAAGTCATCCAAGAACACTGCTTTTTTCTGGTTTTAAGACAAAAAGGCAATTTGATTCAAGCAACAGACTCTTTTGAGTCTAGTTTTAACAGATTCCATGAGGCAGAAAGGCCACTAATTTTGCACGTTTACTTTTGATGATAATTTCTCACCCGAAATAAATTTAAAGAGGTCATGGTAATGTATCCGAGGTAACAGATTCCATGGAAGAATGCATAATCATCAATAAGATTTAAAACCAATGTAAACATTCCCAAGTTAGCGACTACAAAATTCAAGCTGCAGTGCCATAAAATGTAGGGGGGGAAAAAACAAAATAGAAAAGAGAAAAACATTAAGAGAAAGAAAAAATCTTATTTTGATAAAAACATTTATAAACTGCAACAAATTCACAACACAACCATGGTAAAACAATAAAGCCCAACTTGAGATTAAAGACAGATATAACACGGCAAACAAAATGGGCTACTACCGTTAACCACCAAATTGTTTTTCATTTCCATCGAGACCCAAACTTTGAAAACAATCTCAAATACGAAGTTTAAAAAATTAATAAATATCACTTTCGAGAAACAAAAAAAGAAATGCATAATATTAGAATCGTTAAAATATAAAATAAAAAATCTAATATTTCTTCTTCATACCTTTTTTTCTTTCTCCGCGGCGGTTAGCGAGGGTGGACATATGAGCTGGGTCATCGGACAAATAGGCGTCTCCCTCATGAGGCAGGTCGAAACAGGGTGAACCTGGATTGGAGGAATGGTTGAGGTTGCCCATGCTTGCACTTTTCTTAATTATGGATCCATTTCCTAACCTAACTCCGAAAAGCTTGACTCCTCCGCCGCCCCCTCTTGTGGGACACGTTCGGGAGTTGTGTCCGTTGTTGCTGCAGTGGGAGCACCGCCGAGTCATGGCGATCCTCCGCGTGACTCGGTGGAATACGGTTGGAGGAGGATAAAGAAGGAGAATGAGGATGCGATGATATATAGAAATGGGATTATAGATTGAGAATGAACCAACGGAAAACAAAAGAAAAAGAAAAGTGTGCATGTGTTTGCTTAATTAAGGTAAATGAAGGTGGTGGATAGTTTCGCCACTTTTTATTATCTTGGGGCTATTTCCGGAATTTCACTCTAGTCGAACGCGCTGCATCGCTCATTTCTTTCTTTGCTTCAAATCGCTCTTCAACGCGTTTCATATCATTTCCTGCTTCCTTCCATGCTATTGCTCCCACTTCACTTTATCAACTTTTTTATTTAATTGCATCTTCAAATTTTTTTTTATATTTAAGTAATAATTATATATTCAATCCTTATTTTTATCATTTTTTTTTTAGAGATCATGAATTTCTTATTAAAAATAATATTGTTTAAGTCAAATACAGTTATTATGTATGATAGAATTCTTTCTTTGAATTTTTAATATAATCATATTTAATAAAATTAAAAATTAAAATCATAATTTAAATTACTTCATTTTCTTATTTTTTTAATATTCTAAGCTAAAACACGTAAAATAAATAAATTCATAAAACTTAATCATGATGTCAATTTGTCATATAAAAAAAAAACATAACGATGCATTTTCAGTTAAGAAAACAAAAAAAATTAAAATAAGAATTCAAACTTTTACATTTTTTTATTTTTCCAAATTAAATTTTATTTTTATTACTCTTACTTTTCTTTTATTCTATCAAACAAAATGTTAGATCATCACAAATAACGAAAACAGACAAAATTCTGCCATGATAGGAGCACACTACTTAATATTCTTTTATGTCATTCTCTATCTATATTTTTATTTATCACATTCAATTTTAATACATTTCTTCAACTGAAAATTATTATTATTATTTTAAAAATTTTCTTTAACCTTTTCTTTCCTCTGTATTTACTTCTTATGGTCAAATTTTGACTTGACTTTACCGTGCTCACTGTAGCGAAAAAATTTAATAGTTGGTTTGATATCCATTTAACAATTAAGATACAAATGACAAGAGATTAAAATAAAACAATAAACTGTTTCCTAATTGTACTTAAAAAAGAAATAACTTTTTTAAATAGAAGGAAATCGGTTAGTATTCTAACAAGACGTTACTTTTTAAAGATAAATAAAATTTTAAAGTTATTATTTTTTATTTTTATATCTAACGATTCATTATTGTAAACAGTTTTTCATTTTTATAAAGTTATTATACAATTTAAAATAAATGAATTATCTTATTTTTCATTTAATACATTTAAATATAAATCTTATTTTATAAAATTAATGATAGTAATAATTGATTGTTGACATAACTGATTATTAAAATATTTTTTATAGTTATTTTAAATAAATATTTTATTGATTCGTAAAATAAGATTAAATGACTTTTAAAGAGAAAAAGTGTTGGAGAACAAACGCGGATACAAATTCTATCCTCTAATGGATATTTATCATCAACTAACGTGACATGTATATTATTTTTTTGTGTTTGCTCATTATCAAATATTTTTATGGTTTTATGAGTTTTAATTATTTCCTTTTTATGGTTTTATGAGAGTTTTAATTATTTTTCTTTTAATTAAATAACTACATTTTCACAAATTTTTGTTATAAAATATGTGTTCATAATTCTGACATTTTAAACAAATACTACTTAACACATGTTTAGATAAACAACTATCTTGTTAAAAACAATTCCATCCAAACATTTATTACAAGTTTCTGTAATTTTTATAAAAATTCATATGTTGGTACTTACGTTTTTTTCTTTTGTAAAAAGAAAAATATTATTTCTGTTAGTCCTACCTTTTTTAATTGTGTTTATTTCTATTTAAACAAATACCTTTAGTTTAATATTTTATTTTTTATCTTACATCACTCTAAACAAAAAAGGAAAGAAAATTATTAGATTGAGGTGAACGTAAAAACAAGAGTGTGTATGGGATGGATTTATCCTTATCTTTACCTTACTATAAATATTAATAAATTTTTCATTTTTGGTTTAGATTGGTCTTAGAATAAAAAAAAGTTATTAAAATTGAACAGATGTTTTACATGTTGAATTGGATTGAAATTTTGTAATTCTTTGTTAACTTTTTTAAGGGATATGATTTTAATTATTATTTTTCCCTAATTCAACTGTTCACTGTAAGCCCTTTCAGTTTATGGATCAGATTCATTCAGTCGACAAAACTGTAGGGGCCAGATTGCTCGTTATCTTAATAATATTCAAGAAAAACATCAGCCACTAATAAAATATGCTATCATCATCATTGTTAACCTAATCATGTATCTTCGGTCTTTAAACCACTGTTGGTCTGTTGCATCAGCTCTTCAAAAAATACAATAATCCAATACAGCAATTATATGGAGCTTGTCAACTCTACTGCAACACAAAATAAAGAGACTGTAATAGCACTTATAGGTTGGGTTGTACTGTGACAGATGTGACCAAACGGGATTAGAATCTGATATCCGATTATATGAATAAGACTAAAAAAAATTCATGTAATTGAAAAATCCCAAGTAACACGTGATATTATCCACTTCTTGTTACATTTCTTGCTTTTCTAGCCATCTAATAAACATATTAGAGACAGTCATTGTAAATATTATCTTCATTCCTCTGGCTTTTGTATATTATTCTCTATCTTTAAAATTAGGTAGCGAGTTCGGATCATGTAAGGATATCGATAGGGTGCAAGTTTTATATAATATTTCATCATACCCATCTCTTGTTGGATAGAGACTAGAGAGTAGAGAAATCAACAGTGATTTAATTCCTTATTTTTCACGTGACAAATAAGGGTTGTGTTTTTTCTCTTTTTATCTTTCTTTCTTTTTTTCGTCCAAACTTTGTCTTTTTACCTTCGAAAAAATGTTAACACTATACCTTTATTATCAAATAAATTTCGAGTTAATCTCATTAAATAGAGAATACACTGAACACATAATTAAACAAAATACATAAATTTCACTTAGTAATAGAACATGTGATCCCTGTAGTGACCTGTTTGTTTTTAAATAACTTGATTAGCGATTCTCTTATATTATTTGCATCGAACCAATTAACATAAAACGTGCTCATGCTCAAGGGGGTTGGCCGTTGTGACTTTAACGTGCAATCTTTGATTAAACGTACGTTCCGAGAATAAAAGATTGATCATACAAGCACTTTCAAGCATTTATGTATTTAAAATGCTTCATTTTCTAATTATGATTAGTGTCATATGATAAAAAATTTATAGCATAACACAAATTTGCAAACTACCTTATAGCAGTCCAACTACCAACTACCAACTACCCACACCGTCCTAACTAGCCCACCAATACAATAATTAGAAGAACAAGAAAAAAAATTAAAAAATTGACAATAAAATGATTTGATGATAAAAGCCGAAAAATGAAAAAGAAAAAAATGGGGGCTATTGTGACTTCACCGGTAGCTTCTGTAAGCTGGGGTATACATACAGCTCTCAGCAAACTTAACCAAGTCTTTGGGTTGAGGAAGGCGAGTGGCCAAACCTGAGAAAAACCAAAACTCAATTATATAACAGCTCTAAGGATATATATAAACTAAAAGGGTAGCAAAGGAAAATAAAATAAAAACTGACCAAGCTCATAAGCCTTAGCAGCAACATTGGCAGCTATGTGTGCTGAAATCTTTCTGATGTTGGTGAATGGAGGGTATATGAGTCCCTTGTCGAAGTTCTCCTGTGTCACTTGTGCAGCCAAAGCTTCCGCTGTTCCATTAAATAATATCACATTAATCATCGTATCAAAAACCATGTCAACAACATTGGCAACCGAATGTACTTGTAAAATGTGTACTACTTAATAAAATTGAGAATTCCAAAGAATTTAAGTAAATTTTAGTAAACAAGAAAAACAGGCTCTCAGAGTCGAAAACGAGTACTCAAATTTAAAAATGAAAATAAAAACGAAAGCTAATTCCCTTCTTAATAAAAACTTTGGGCGTATTTCAATGAATTTTAATATAATTTTTTTTATAATGTCATTCAATTATGGAGTATCACGTCAACAAAACTTCTTGATTTTTACAATAATTAACATAAAATAATATTAACAATATATTCTAATTAGTTGACGGGTGTAAAATTTTTTCGTAAATAATATACCAAAATTAGTCTCTATGTTTATATCAAGATACAGAAAATAAGAGTTTAATTTTGAGGTATTACGGGCGTGAAAATTTTAATACTGTTAACTAGTTAAAAAAATGTTGGGCACTTACAGGCAGCCAGAAGCAGATCGTCGTGCACTCGAATGGTCCCAGACATTATTAAACCAAGACCGAATCCTGGGAATATGTATGCATTATTGGCCTGATCAACAAAGGAACATAACATCCAAATTAGACCTTAATTCACACGTGAAACTTTTCATGTTTACTTAAAATCTAAAGGGTTTATATAGACCTGGCCAGGCACAAACTTTTTCCCTTCATGCTCAACTGGGGCAAATGGGCTCCCACTTGCAAAAATGGCACGTCCCTGATGATGATGATGCACAAAAATAAAAATAGTTAATATAGTTTAACGAAAGCTTAAATTCTAATGCAAAAAAACAAGTTGAGTCTATTTTACCTTGCTCCATGAATAAGCTTCTTCAGCAGTACATTCTGATTGTGATGTTGGGTTGGAAAGAGAAAGAATAATAGGTTTCTGCAAGCATTATCATGTAATAAATTGCTTAGCTTATGTGGACATGAAATTCATGGTAGGTACTAGGTAGATAAATAGATTGAAATAGTACCTCATTAATAGAGGCCATAGCCTCAACCACCTCTTTAGTGAAAGTTCTCCCTTGTCCCGATGTTCCAATCAACACAGTTGGCTTAATTTGCTGTAGAAGATTAAGTCGAAAATGTAAGAAAATTGAAACTTCTGCGTTATGTGGGTGTATGGGTATGCAATGAACAGAAAGATCGATCATACATTAACAGCATCAACAAGATTTTTAACAGGTTCATGTTCATGAGCCCAGGGCTTCTTAAAATGTTGGAGTGAATCTTTACGGGAACTGACAATCAACCCCTGCAAAAGTAGGTATAGAAGATTAATTAGATGGAAGATGGAAATGTATTTCATACATGAAGAGCTAAATTGGATTTTACACAACCTTCGAGTCCACCAACCAAATATTCTTGCGCACTTCCTCCAGTGGAGCATTTGTCTGCATCAATAATGGTAGTTTCTCAATAACTCTAAAATATGTGTGCAATGCTCACATAACATTTCTCTCCACCATCCACAAAAAAAAAAAATGCAACACTCTAAAGTAGCTAGCAACCTGTTTTGATGTTTCAAGTGCTATGAGTTCTGCTATTCCAGTGCCAGCCTGTGCAATCACCAGACAAAACATTTAAGCCATAATTACAAAATTGAAATTGATTTTAAAAAATTAGTTTTAATCAGTTCTAATAGGCATCGTCAAGTAGTTCCACTTTCTTGGTTGAAAAAGTGTATTATTTAATTCTTCTTACACCCCCCTCTTTCCTATGTTTTAAAACTGATTAAACACCTCCTTACTTCCCCAAGATTGATGATGAACTGCACATGATCCCAGAATTACACGGACTCACCTCTCCAGCACCAAGGAATAAGAATCTGTGGTCAGCTAAGTTCCCCCCAACCAATTTCAGAGCTGCAACTAGTCCAGCAAGGACCACAGATGCTGTTCCCTGGAACAAGGTAGATTCAATATCAGAGCTAGTTATATGTAAAGTTATCAAAGAACCCGAATTCATTGTTGAAGACAATAATTTACCTGAATATCGTCATTAAAAACCAGATGCGTCGATCTATATTTTTCAAGTAGATCAAAAGCATTGTGGTTTGCAAAGTCTTCAAACTAAATACAAAACATAACAGATACAGAAAACCAAAAAATTGGAATTAGTGAAGACTGTGCAGTCCAATAAGCAAAGAAATGACGTCTCCTAACACTGCTTAATACCTGAATTAGGACTTTTTCCCCATAATTTTGCTTGATTGCCGTCATAAATTCATGCATAAGTTCAGCATATTCCTGGAATCAAAGAAGTTAGAAGAAAGAAATATTATAGTATATTACAAAATTGGAATGGCAGAAATCAAAAATAATTAATTCCACATGACCAAGCAAAGAAAACAAATCATGAACCTGCCCAGTTGCTCGTCTTTGCTTTAGCCCAATATATAATTCATCATTCAGCAACTTCTCATTGTTTGTACCCACATCAATGGTAATAGGCAGGCACTGAAACAATTTTAAAGATACCATTATGGATGTAATAAGAAATGGAAGTTACATCATGCACAATCAATATTTTTAAAACTAATGAACAAATGCCAGGTACATTTCTTAGTTTACAAGACATCAACTCAACTGGAAACCTACAATACTATTCCAACAGACAGCAGTATATAAAACATGATTTGCTGAGTATCTTTTAATTTACTTCATAAACAATGACATTGTTGTAAGTTGATGATATGCATAATTTAAGGTTTATCAAAATGGACCAAATATACTTACAGCGGAAGGACGAACTCCTCCAAGTGCCGTGTATAAAGAGAGTTTTCCCACTGGTATTCCCATACCCTGAGAACAGAACATAGGTCACCAAAGGAGAGACTACAACATCAGATCTTGCGATTCAATTATAACTGTTATTAATTATATAAACAAGTATAATAGAAATTACCTGACAACCAAGATCCCCAAGACCCAATATCCGTTCTCCATCAGTTACAACTATGACTTGAACGTTCTTCTCAGGCCAATTCCTTAGCACTTCAAGAATCCTCCCCCTTTATGTTTAAGCCCCACCCAGGAGACAGAGGAACAATAAAATTAACACAAACAATAGATAAAATATTCAATTGAAAGTAAACATCTACAGAGATTTCTAGGAGGAGAAAAGAGAAGTAAAAGGAAAACTAACTTTTCTTTCAAACTTATATAAAGACCCTGAGGACGCATAAAGATGCTCCCATATTTTTGGCAAGCCTCACCAACAGTTGGAGTATAGACAACTGGGAGTAATTCTTCAACGTGATCAATAAGAAGTTTGTAAAACAGCCTTTCATTTCTCTCCTGCAATCCAGAAAATAATAAAGCAAAAGCATTGAAATCCAATCCCAAAATTTGCCAATCATACCATGCAAAGAAACTTCCACCAAGATACGATTTTACATTAAAGATGACTTTCAAAGTTATAAAATAAAAGCATGACCAAAACCGAACACTAAGAATTTTGGCATCGTTCAAAAAGCAACTGTACAAGTGTGATTGCACACAATGACAGATGGGGCAACAGAAAAATCTAATGACAACGGATTTTTCTTTTTTACAATGCACATGGACAACCAATAAATAATGTTAAAAACGAAGCAGCAGACCAAGGTCCAAAACTGTATTCTTTAATATATTGTTTTTAGAACATTGTTCACAGGGTCACACCTGAAGATCCATCATTGCCATGTACTTCTGCAGCGGAACTTGATACTGGCGTATGTGCTGGATCATTTTCTTCACCTGCCATTAAAGCAGTAGTTTAATTGATGTTGGATAAGCACATTCACAGTCTAATTGCCTTGAAAATTTATATAGTCAGATAGTTAACCTGAGTTTCTTGAGGAATAACTGACGGGGGAAGAAGACCGCGCAAGTAGTGGGCATCCCTCTCTTTTTCAGTGAAGGCCAGCCCTTTGTTGAAGTGGGGATCTCGCAACAACGTATAACCACTAAAAAGCAAGAAGCAAGTTAAAATTAAGAATTTGCATAATAAATCAATCCTCTCTGGCTATAGTTCTGAAAGTAGCCCATCAAATGCATTATCGTCTATAATTGAAAAGTAGAATTGCACTAAGCCATTCAGAGCATCATATTCAACCAACACAGCAGCAAAATACAAATACAACGGTCCAGAAGATAAAGGTGAAAGGAATGCAAACACGTAAGATGATTAAGGACATGTAATATTTATCCGTCACCAAACCCATTTAAGATCTCCCACAACGCACAATAGAAAAAAAAATTGCGCTTCATCCATAACACCAAAACTCGGTCATTCCAATTTGGAAAATTAACCCAACTCAGGGAGTGGCAGAGACAAGCATCCAATTCGAATCTAAACTCAAGAGTTAAGAAATTGAGCATCAAAGTCAAAAACAGTTGAACTGGTGATAAGATTAGAAGATGAAGAGGCTCACCTAGCAACAGAGACATTCCACGGAGTAACAAACTGATCCTCCGTTGCCCTATCCTCGCCGTACACATCCTGCGGGCCACCGGCGGAGATCGGGTTATCGTCCACGTCAGCCACCGTCGATTCCTTTCTTACTTCTTTCAACGGAGTCTCCATCACAACGCTACCGTTTCTATCACTCGACCTGCTGCTACTTGGGGCCATACACACCACCCTGAAAGGACTTGCACGCTTTCTCTGCGCATCACAGAAGCTGTTGCACCCACCCAACCCTGAGTTGCTCTGCGTAAAAAGTTCACAACAAAGGAAGGAGGAGAAGAGAAAATATCAGCACCCAGATAAACAAATCAGCTAATCTCATCGAAATCAGAAGAAAAATCAAAATTTTCACGGCTGAACAAGTAACCCAGAAACTTGGTCAATTTTTACCGACTCTGGATTCTTGTAGTGATAAGTTGTGAACAGGACAGAACAAGACAAAGCCATCTTTGTTTTCTGATTTAGCAGCAGGAAATGGAAGATGCAGGAGAATATAAAAAGGGGATATGGGAGTGAGTTTGAAAATCCTTTTAGTGCAAATCTGGTTAGATGACGTGAGAAAAAAAGTGGATTCAAAAGATGAGTGAGAAATAAGGTTGAGATTACCAGGAAGGTGCATCTGGTGGAGGAGATCATGATGGCGAAGTGAATGCGAGAAAGAGAGAGTCCTGCGGTCGCTGAATCAGAAGGAGAGAGAAAGAAATTATAAGAAGAGAGAAGGAGAGAGATACAGAGAGAGAGAGAGAGAGAGTCTTCAGGGAAGGTGGCCTTGCTTTTCTCTTGAGTTCTTTTTCTCTGTCTCTCCGTCCCTCCCTCTCCCTCTTTACCTGACCAAACACAACTCACACAAGAGAAGAGAGATCAGAAGCAACGTGAGCAAAATACTTCTCTGCAGCTAACCTTAAAAAGGGTACAAATGCATGAACTCATTCTCTCTTGATATTACCGAACTACCCTGGACTTGTTCAAAAAGTAATTCTCTTGTTTTTAATAAATATATTTCCAACAACACACACCAAAAAATCTGTGGGGCCTTCCCTGTGGCAAACGCTTGCTTTTCTTAAATAATTTACTAAATGTTACAAATTTATATGCTCTGCTTTGTTTTGAGGTTAATCAATGGATTTGATTTTTTTTAACAATTTTAGATACTTCTTTAAATATTATTTTAAGAGGTGAGTATATAAAAATAATTATATTAATAGTAATTATTTAAATATAAAAAAGATTGTGGAAGTGGGGTGGCCTGTGGATGTCATGTCATTATATTGACATGTGGCCAATGAAACAGAGTTAAAAGGTTCTCTACAACTACGATGTTGGAAAGCTCAGTGGAGATCATTGTGAGAGTTGTTTGAGACCGTAAGATCATTTGGATCCTTTGAGATTTACACGAGAGAGTGTCTGTTTTCATAAGACTTGGGTGTAAGATTCAATCACCAATTCTTGCACCTGTCGGTAACTTGTTTGGGTTTAGACGCCCCTCCGTGTAACAACAAATTGATGTCCCGTATTCTATTACATCACAGTCTTGTAGTATATCTCGCGTTTTGTGTATAAGGAATTTTTTTTTACATGTCTTTTATAATTCACATTTCTTACATTTGGTGTATACGACAAGTTAAAGTATAGTAGTGATATCTTATTATTAAAAATATTAATGTTATAGAATATAAAGTAACATGCGTATAAATGTGTATTTAGTGTTATTCTGTTCCAATTTGTCTTTGTACGATGGTTGCTTGAACCATGCCAAGGAAAAATGTCATTTATTTTCACCGTGGGTCGTCTTTAATCATATTTTAATATTTTATGACAAGTTATAATAAAATGAAATATAAACTACATGGAATGGAATGAAATATAATTAGTAGAAACTTTAAATTAGATTATAGATAACAGAATGGATTTTTTTACTGGTGAAAAAATAATGAAAATAAGGAATAAAAAATTATAATTTTGTTATTTTCACATTACCCTTTCATGAAATATGCTAAACTTTGACATCACTCCTAAAATATAATTTGATCAATTTAATTTAATTTTAATATTTTCCTACGTGTCTGAACAGTTCAACTCTTCTTTATTTGTTGAATATTCTATTGTTTCATTCTATTCTATTTCTCATGTTTTTCCCATAAATCCAAAAGGATTTGAGAGAAGTGAAAGCTCCAATTCCAAGCAACCTGAAAGGCTGAGAAACAGAGGCTGGTTTTGTGGTGCATTGGATAGATAGGTGTTGGCCATGACCATGTGGGGATAACAATATGGTGGTTGAGAGTAGGCCACCATATTTAAAGAGTACATACAATGTTAAGGTGCTTTTGCCTATGTCTTCTATTTGCCAAAGTGGTCCATTAAAATCACCACAAGTATAATCTATGGATATGGACAATTTGGTTATACTTTGTTGTAAAATGTGTAGTTTTTATCACAATTCGCCGACAATATTGCCAAATAGAAAACCATCATCCCTGACAATTTAAGAGTTCAAAATATTAGTAACGGGGAGACTATAAACTTTAATTTTTAAGCACTGTAAGCACAATTAAACCTATATCCAACTATAAAAATTGAATGATGTAGTGAAATAATTGAGGTCGAAATTAAATTCCATGACTAGATTAATTTGGGTCTAAAATTTGGTGGCCCCAACTAGGATTTGTGTTAACCACAGAATTTTGGGAAACTTGGTAGAGCATTTAATCGATGGTGGCATAATCTGTTGATATTAATGTCATGTTTCGTTTCAACGTCCAACCAAAACCTCAGGCCATTTAGGCACCACACCCACCCACAAGCGCATCAAGCCATACCAACCCTCTTCCTTTGATTAACAACGCGTTAATGCCAAGGACACCCCAAAAGATTTATATGTTTCACTATAAATAATCGGTATCTTTCTAATTACAAAATTAATATATAGTTTTTAGTAAAAATATGTTGATTAAGCATTGAAAATACTTTTAATTTCTTATTTAGTACCTACATTTTCAGATTTTCCTAAGAAGAGATAGAATGATGTTAACATTAAATTTCAGAATCTTTCTAAACATATAAAATTGTTTTTTTTTATTATAATATCATTTATTATATTTTGAATCTTTGATGTAATAAACACTTGTTTTTTTAATTATTATTATTATTATTTGATCCTTAAAGTTAGTTTTAAAAATTAATATTAACTCTTTTAATAAATGTTTACATTATTATAGTTGACACCACTTCTTAATTAAAATTAAAATTTAATTCAATGAATTGCATGATATAAATTATTAAATACAACTTCAATTTTAATAAAAAAAAAATATTTAAAACTCTTACATCTAAAACACCTAAATTTTATTTGTTTGAAATTGAAAGGGTAACGGGAAAGAGATGGTACTGATATTTGCCAAAGCTCACACGGATTTTATTTGATTAAATAATAATTTTATTACCTATAATATTACATAAATTAGCTATTCAATTAACGATATTCTCTTAATTATAATTAACGCAGAACGGATTTTACCATAAAATTAGTATAATTAATATTTTTATAAACATTTATATTTTACTGTAAGAGTTGTGTTTGCAGAGGAGTATGGTCATCGTCTCTCTTGATTCTTGAAATTAAGAATTTTTTTTTACGTGTCACTTAAAATAAGCTAAAAATATACTCTCCAATATAATTTTTTATTAATAATTAAATTTTATAAAAAATTAAAAAAATATTAATGTATAAATAAAAATAAAATAAAATATAGTCAGTTTTATGATTTTAATAAATTTTAACTAATAATAAAAAATACATTAAAAAGATTAACGCTTTTGAAAATAAATTAGCTTTTGAAAATTGAAAGTGAAGAAGGGTCTAACCAAGTGGTGGTAGCCACTAGCTGTAGTAGTTCGGTAGGTGGGTGAACGGGACAAAAGAATGCATGTGCGTAAACAACTTTTTCCTCATTGCAATTACAAAAGGGTTTAAATGTATTTTTATTGCTTATACAATTTTTTTATCTAGTCCTGTATTTATTTATAAATATTGTAAATATATAATCATAGTTTAAAAAAAATTTATATCGTAAATAAATGAAAATTTGATGATTTTATTAAATATATATCTATGAAAATATATCTGTTTATAATTTTTAATATTTTGGTGGGTGAGGATAATTTGAAAACTGAACATAAAGGGTATTAAAAAATAATTTTTTATCGATGATATCATGTTTAACGATTTTTATAATATATTTTTTAAAAAAGTAGTGTTTTAAATATAATTTTGTGGGCAGGGATAAACCACGTTCTGGTCGCCGCGTCCTGAAAAACGTCAGAATAGTGGGCCATAAGCCTACAACTAAGTGCACACCACACGCTTTTGCCAATTCAATTCCCTCTTTTCGAAGGGCTGTTTCGGAAAATTATTTTAACCACTAAGTCCGTTCACTGTAGTAATTTTGGTTTTTATGACAGACCAATCTTTTTTCTGTAATTCCTTTGATATTTTTTTTGTAAATTTCTAAAGTTTTTTTTATGCTACGGGTATCATTTTCTTAAAAAAATTGTTTCATTTCAATAAATGTATTGTATAAATCATGCAAATTTAACCTCATCAATTTTTTTTAATTTAAATTCTTAAGTTCTTTTAAGGGGCAAAAAGTTAAAAAAAAGGGGAGGGGGAAAAGGTATGAAATAAGTATTATAAATAATACATTATCTTGTGAATAACATGACTGGGCTGATATTGAGCTGGGTATTGTTGTGCTACATGTTGGGCACAACCTTTGCTTGACCCACTAGCCTAACCTAAGTTCTTTAGAATTATGTTGATGAAAATGATCTAGCTCATCCACATCATAAATGATAACTATTATTTGGTGATTTCTACAACCCAATCATTAGCGTGTCACATATTTAGGGTGCAAGAGTTTTTTAAGTACTAATCCTAAGAAATGTTCTACACTTTCCATGGTTGCAATGCTACAAAAAGTATTTTTCATGTTCTATAAAATCACTGAAAATCTGATACCTCCCGTTCTACATCCCTATATTTTTAGCGCACATCACTTTGTATGTACATGTAACTTTACTTGTCACGAACTGGTTCTTAAATCGCTCAACTACCTTTTGTTGAAAAATGATTTTCTTTTCAATGTTTGTAGCAAATATTACATGGTAAAGGCAGCGAAATGTCTAATGTTATTGTCCACTAAAAAACAATCACTCCCAAAATTGGTGTTATACTTACTGTTGGCACATTTATATTCTCCTCAATCTCAGAGTTTCACCGTATTATGTCACCAAAAATTGGTTTTCTACTTCTTGTCTTATTTTCTTTATTGAGAGTCTTTTGAGTAAAAAAATTACAGTGCCATACTTTTTTTTTTCGTTTTTGAATGTACTGCCTAATTATAATAAATGTTCATAGAAGGTAAGGTAGTTTCACTAACTTTTCATAATCTCAAGGTCAAGAAAATTTGGATAAAAATATTCTTACTACTTCTACATACGCATGTAACATGGTGGGGAATACTAATAATTTTTGGAAAGGCAATAATTATTTAACAAAAAGGGAAAACGCATGTGTAAAAGAAAACAAACCATGATAAAAGATAATTGTAATGCTTATTAGTCACATTCAAAGGGTTAATAAGAATGAAAAGGATTAAATTACTTTTAAAATAGCAAAAAATATAATGATAGCAATGGTAACGAGATAATTGTTGCAAAATTGACTACATAAATCAACATGATTTATATATACTAAATGACCCTCAAGACTTGCTAACAAAACTATCATGGTGGTTTATAATCAAATATAAATTTTTCTATCCTTAGATATACAGATACATAAGGTGCATTCACTAGAAAAACTTGTAAGAATAGAACTCCATATTTCACTAATTTACCCTTTTCTTCATTTTTATCTTGTTTGGAAGTTGAGTACTTTGATGCAGAAGGCAAATACAAAAGCAAAGAAGACAGTGAAACCAACCAAAACAGCAGCAACTGGCCCCATAAAGTCTGGTTTAAACCCGTAATGATCTTCGATATATTGCTTAATAGGAATAGTTTGATTATCCAAGCCAGGCACACTAATGCGGACCGTAACATCTCTATACTGTGAGACAATTAATCCATAAACTGTCCATGCTACAGGACAAATCCAGTAATACCAAACCCACCATTTAGGAATTTTCTGAAATGAAAAATTTGGTAAAGCAATTATATTAGTTAGAATGACAAGTAGTTCTTGTACTAATGCAAAATAACCAAACTAGAATGCTACTTACTGGTCTTGGAATAAAGAAACCAGAGAAAAGATTAAAGAGTCCATAAAATGCTGCCCCTAAGATTGATGCCACTTGGTGGTTTGGTGTAATAGAAACGGTCATCATCCCATAATATGTGAAATACAAGAAGGAGAAAAAACTGATAAAGAAGAACCAGAAGAATTTGGCAACTTTCCATTCGAAGCTCACCATAGCATACACTATGAATGCGAAATATATAGTTTCAGAAAACACATATGGGATTTCAACAACAACCTACAAAAGAAACAACAGTGTCAACACAATAAGCAATATACGTTGAAATTAACAAAGCACCATAATTTATTTTATAAAATAAATTATATCCTTTAACCTGTGCAAGGGCATAAGGTAAAGCAGAATACATTCCAGCAGCCCTTTCACGATAGAATACTGTTCTCTCAATGGCTACGACTGGTTGAACAGTTTGGCAATTGTTAACACCAACAAAAAACACAGAACCATACAGTGCTCCAATAATAGTATTTAGATCACTTGAGTTTTCCCTGTAAAAATATGATAAGAAAAGCATTAGCTAAAATGTGAAGCTAAATGTTTAGAGAATGATATTATATATCTATTCACCAAAAGAATTAGTTGCAAACCTTTTCTTGCCAACCCTCCAAAATATTGTCCCTACCATGAGAGCTGCAGCCAAGGTGAAGAAACATCTAACAAGGTTATAATCTGGACTCCTCCAATAAGTCAACCATTGCTTCCACAGACAAGATTTGAATTGTTCCCAAGTGGATTGAGAGTACTGAGTGGGGAAATACAAGTCTTTTGCTCCTGCAGGAGGTGTGCTTAACTCTCTTATAAGAGCTTTATTTCTCCTGCACGTAATATTGTATGTTAACTCAACCCAATAAAATAAGTACAAAATCACTTAACATTGGTATCATAGTTGTTTGTAGACATACTGGTACAAAGAAGATGATTTGTAGTATTCAGCAAAGTCCATTCCAAGCCGAACTTCAGCCGCTATGGAGCTCACCTCTAACATCCATGTTGCTGGGTTGTACTTATCCTTAATTTTTGAGACCCCTGGGATTGCCTGCGATCAAAGGGTTATGGAATCAGATGTAGAACTTGAACCCTTGTTACATTATTTGATCAAAAGAATATAATCAATTTGTTATGATACCTCAAAATATTCTATAATCTTGTGAGAATTCCTTCCTAATGGTCCTGAGTATATCACTTGTCCTCCTCTCTTCATCAACAGTAACTGGTGCACAAAGAAATATTTATCTACCAAAAAGCCATAGATATAAAGAGAAGCACATGACATGCAAATTACAAGTTCATCGGTACCTCATCAAAAGCTTCGAAGATATCAATACTAGGCTGGTGAATTGTGCAAACAACTGTTCTTCCAGTGTCAACAGTGTTTCTTACGGTCCTCATAACAATTGCTGCTGCTCTAGCATCGAGACCTGAAGTGGGTTCGTCCATAAAAATGATTGAAGGATTAGCAACAAGCTCAACAGCAATTGTTAGCCTTTTTCTCTGTTCAGTTGACAACCCTGTAACACCCGGAAGACCAACTATAGCATCTCTAAGATTATTCAACTCAACCAACTCCATTACTTCATCCACAAATTTCTGCACAGATTAAAAAATTGGAAATAAAAATTTTACTCTTTCATGTAACTTTTTAGGGACAAAATGAAAAGAAGGATATAAATTATATAATACTTAGAACTTACCATTTTTTCTTCACTATTGACTTCTCTTGGTAACCGAAGGAAAGCTGAATATATTAAAGATTCTCTAACAGTAACTTGTGGTGAATGAATATCAGTTTGCTCACAATAGCCAGAAATTCTTGCAAAGGTTTCTTGATTCTTAGGGTATCCAGAAATTCTAATATCTCCTTCAATGTACCCGCCAGTTTTTCTTCCTGCTAAAACATCCATCAAAGTTGTCTTTCCAGCTCCACTAACTCCCATTAGAGCAGTTAGAACTCCAGGCCTAAAGGCACTAGTTACTTCCCTAAGTAATTGTAGTCTATCTTCTGTTACTCCTTGCTCCTTCATTTCCTATCAATGTTAAAATTGCATTCATAAGTACCATTGATTTTGAACGGTACAAAGTTATAATGAAAAAGGTGATAGGGCTCTTACTGCAGGCATGTCCACATAGTAATTAACACTGTCAAAAGACATTGCAAGTGGTTGAAAAGGTAGAACCATTCCTCTCTTGGGTGCAACTCTAGTTGATGACTCAAGCGCTGGATTAGGACTTCTTATTCCGCTAGGATTACCTTGACTGCTCATTCGTTGCATTGCCACTTCTCCTAAAACGATTCATGCAAAAGAAAAGTTTAATTAGAAGCACTCCCTATTACATCAATAAAAATACACTTTAATCTAAATTATTCGAAGTTGAAAATGTCTAGTCTCGCATTTACTTGTGTTGTTTCCATCAGCAAAAGATGATTCAAAGGCCAACTCTCTATTGGGATCTGGCCTTACAAGTCTGGGTTCTTCCTTTGAGTGTCCTCCAATATCATCCATTTCATTTGCTTCTTCTTCAGATATAATTGCTTGTTTTTTTGCAATAGCTAGTAAATTAAATAATAAAAGATAAAATAAAAGCATTGTTAACATTTAACAACCAGTGAAATAAGTAATTCACTGCAAAGTTTGATAAGAATGTGAGCTCTTACGATTAAGGTACATAAGCGCAAAGGTGAAAAGAACATTGAACAAAATAGTGAAACCCAAAAGAACACCTGCACCAATCCAGTACCATCGTTTTTCCCTAAAAACATCGAAGTTATGCAACGTAGCCAAACCCAATGTGGTTGTACCATCCGAGGACTACAAGTACAAAAAAGTTCAAGTCAAACAGGTTTATTGTTAAGCCATTGAATCTCATTTTTATTTGCTATTGAAAGCTTGTGTCACTTACCGGTTTGCTCCACCTTGGAGCAAACAGTTCATTCACAGCAAAAGCATTGAATGCGTATGATAATGGCGAAACCCAGTAACCCCATATCCACCAATGTGGAATGTCATCTGTTAATGTTAAGATTTAAGCTTCGAGGTGAGCACATTTTTTAACAAATTACATAATAGATTATTTTGGTCATGATTCACTCACTTTTATGAAGGATGAAACCTCCAAGTAAAAACACAAGAAGAAGCATAAGGGCTCCACCCGTGTTAGCAATGATCATTGTCCTACAAACTCCAGATATAACCCTAAACATACCAGCTGCCATTTGTTGGACAAGAAATACTAGCAACAAGTGTTTGAAGAACCTGAAAGTTGGATAAGCCCACAAAATGCTCAATTAATGTTATAAACACATAATTTACTATTATGATCATGGAACCTTGATCTTCAATATCAATGATATAATAATAGTTTGCTCAATTTTATAAAGAAAAATGGAACATAAAAAGGGGTTGAGATAAAAATGAGAAAAAAATAGAGTGAAGGACTCAGTTTAGTTCTTTAAATTATAGGCATCGTTTATTTTAGTTTTTAACGTTACAAAACAAATTTATTTTAATCCTTTTTGTACAAAATGACAATAAAAAATAAACTAAAAAAAGATTAAAAGGAATATTTTTTTAAAAAAAGATTGAAGACTTAGGTGAGATTTTTGTAAAGTCAACGACCAAAGTGATACTTATAATTTGAAAAACCAAAATTTCTATATATTTACTTAGAAAAATAATGTCATTGAGCTTACCTACTAGCTTCAGGTGCTAATCCTACTGTGTAGTACGTAATAAGCACCCAAACAATAGCCTCAAATATAGAGAAAGGAATCCGAAGTAAAAAATTTGAAAGGGTGTAAGTCCAAGGAGGATGGAAAAGGTGGTCTCTATGCTTGTAGAATACGGGAAGCCTTGCAATTGTGAGGGGTAGCTCAGAAAAACCATTGAATGTGTTCATAATCATGCTAAATAATATTGCACCTATGTAAAGAGCTGCATCATCCTCATTCCTTCGATGCATTTTGGTCCTAAAGAACACAGTTGCGGTTATGACAGCAATAATGCATATTTGAACTGTCTTGAATATATAGACAAAAGAGTTTCTCTTGATTAGCAACCATTCCTTGTCCCAACATGCTTTAAGAAGTCCCGTTGTGGGTACTGTGTATTTCTTGAAAACAAGAGCTGCTCTATGTCCTGTTGATTTGTCAAATGCCACAGAAAGCTCTTGCTCAAGCTGCGATCCAACATGAAAGTGCTTGAACCTGTTTGCAAATTCGCTCACTGTAACATAACGATATGGTAGGTTTCTATTTGCCCAATATTGTTCTTGATCTTTCCTTGAAGTAACCTGTACAAAATTAACAACTTTATCCTTTTTGGCATTTTGAAAATTAAAAAAAAAACTTTTAATGAGATATTTTTATTTGTTAATTTTTGACCGAAGTATTATTTTTTATTGAATAAATATAGAAAACAGGAAGTTTGATCTTAGTTTAAGGTGTGAGGAAGAGTAATGTGTAAGGGGTGATGTTATATGACGATACCTCTTGCAAGAAATCCGCAGTTCCTTTTCTGTCAGGGCATCTAAATCCACAGGATTCAAAGAACTCAAGGATGTGCTCACGTGGGCCCTGATAAACTATTTGCCCCTCAGATATTAAGATTATATCATCAAAAAGATCAAACGTCTCTGGAGCAGGTTGGAGTAGGGACATGAATATGGTTGCTTCAGTGAGGTGCACAATTTGTTGGAAGCATTTTACTATTTGATACGTTGTAGAACTATCAAGGCCCGTTGATATCTCATCCATGAACAGTGTTTTCGTGGGCCCAACAATCATTTCCCCTACACCATATCAAAACCCATGTCATTCATTGTAACTTGTAAGGGAAAAAACAATTCATTGCATGCACTAATGACAAAATAAAATTGTACTAATACTATGTGGGTGGGTTACACTTGAACCTTGGCTGCTGATATCGGATCCTTCCAATATTTTGTTTATATGTGTGCTTATTAATTTATCAGAAAGGATAGAGACATTTTATGAATGAAGATGTCAGATAATTATAAGTATATTGGACATTAGCTAAGTTTAGGAGATGAAAATCATGTATGTAATAAGCAAGGTATTGGAAATTATAAAATTCGGTACACATAGGGTGAAGAAAGGACCAAGTCCAAATAAAAACATTTAGTCGACATAGTATATGTGGCCACATCTTAACCTTATGGAATATTTGAGTGGATATGCAAGTTTCTGTCACCTTCAAATGAGATGATTAAACGAAGCCTATTCAAATATAAAGTTGAAGTTTGGACTTGAAAAATAGTAGGGAAGAAAACGAAGGCATCAATAATTGGGAATAAATTTTTTTAGGAAACAAGGGTTATTTGTTTGTTTTACTTCGAGAATTACTTACAAATTGTGGTTAAATTAATTTAAATATGTATTTCAATTATATTTAATAATTTAAAATTAATTTTATAAAATCAAGTATATTCAATTTTAAAATAAATGAAAATATAGTATGTTATTATTACCTGTTGTTACACGCTTCTTTTGGCCACCAGATACACCTCTCTGCATGTCATCGCCCACAATAGTATCTTTGCAAATATCAAGTCCCAATATCTGTTTCATACAGCAAACACCAAAAAAGTCAAATTTTTATGACATAATCAAACCATTAGTCCGGCAATTAACAATAATAACTATGTTGTCTACCACTCACATCAGTATGTATTCGAATTAATTTATTTCACATTGAAAATATTTTATGGTAAAAAAATTTTAAAAATTAAAAAATAATCAAATTCAAACTTGCTCTTGAAGGGTAGTAAATAGATGATCCAAATAGAACAAGAAGTTCACCCACTGGACCCACTTTAGCCTCTATGATTGGGTGAGTATAAGTTTTTGGCAAGGAAATGTTTGAGAAGATTGCAAAGTCATGAGATCATGATTTGGACTTTTGAGGGTGGGGATAATGTTAGAATCTAAAATGAGTGGTGAAATGTGATCCTTCAAAGTTCAACCACGTGTGTCCTTTTTTTCTTCTCTCTCTAACCTTAAACAGAATTGTTGAGAAACATAGTTACTTACTTTTAGAGTGTAGTCAGTAATGAGACTGCTTTCTGTTCCTTCCATTGCAGTAGCCTAAAAATGATGAAACTGGTGATTACTATTCCATGAATTAACAAAGTTGAGAAAATTATTCATTGTTTAGTCTTTGAGACATTAATACCTTCATGAAGAGGTCAAGTTCTGCCTCTGGAAATATGCCAGCTTCCTTTTCCCTTCGAGCAAGCTCGGCCAATAGGTCTACAATCACATTTTAAATTTTTATTAATATATTCATATTTTATAATTAATGTCTAAATGAGCAAGCGATGCATGATAAATACAAAAGAGATATATAAAATGTATGAAAGGAGTGAATAAAGAAAGCTATTTTTGTCATGCAAGTTTTCCTATTTATAAATACTCCTATTAGAAAATTAGTTAAGGTAAATGAAAGACACAAAGAATTATGAGTAACGTTGTAATTTTTTATTTTTTTTTGTGCAAATTTATCCAGAAAAGTTTTAGCATTGTAATGGAAGAGGATTTGCAATTCTTTTGTCTCAGTTTGTATTGTAAATGTGTATGTTGATGTTATTTGGCATAGTCCCATCAAAATTTGACAGGTAAGTGTTGATTAAATTACCATATCGTGTGCCAACTCCTTGGCATCTAGCTGAGAAATCCAAGGTTTCTTTTACAGTCATTTCTCCCAGATGTACATCATTTTGGCTGATGTAGGCTGAAGTCTTTCTAGGGACAAACTCATTAAACTTGTACCCGTTGTAAGTTATTTCTCCATTAACCTGTAACATTCAAATTTTCAAACCACTTAATAACTCTTCTGCATCACCACACTTAGTCAATTCCACGTGATGGAGTTTCATTTTTTCTGATTACAAATAAAGTCAAGAAAATAAAAGGGCTAGAGTCTACCCTCAAGTCACTATCCAATTTTCCAGCCAATGCCAACAAAAGGGTCGTTTTCCCAGAAGAAGGGGGTCCTAGCAAAAGGGCCATCCTGCACAGAACAATATGAATGAATGGTTATACTTACAGCGACCCAAATCATAATAATGAACAAATAAACCTATATAAATAGGTGAACTAGCCTTCAAATGTTTTTTTTACTAAGGTAGTTCCAACAAAATGATGATAAAAATTTTGTGGTACCTTGAAGGCTTAATAATGCCAGAGACATTTTTAAGAATTGTGAGATTTCTTCTCTTGGCAGTAGTGATCCCACACAAGCTAAGGCCTGATTCAACAATGTTCAATGCAACGTTTGGTAGGGTGGGCAGAGCTCTGCTGCCAACGTGGGAATCAGCCTCAACAGTCAAATTTTGAAACCTCACTTCCACTGTTGGGAGTCGGATACCAACCCTGCAATCGGAAGAATTGAAAAACACAAGGATAATATTTGTTACATACAAATGTGGGGTGTGGCAACAATATGTTGGAGAAGAGTGTATCTATAAGCATGTTCGATATGGTATCACTAAATAGCTTTGACTTGTCTTCTGAATAGTTATTTGCATAAGCTTCTCCCACCATTTTCATTAAAGCATCGTCTTGATTTACAAAGTTATATATATATATATATATATATATATATATATATATATATATATATATATATATATATATTTAAAATTTTTAAGATATTTGATTGAGTAGACTATATACACCAAGCGGTAAAGACAGAGTTGAAAGTTGAAGGAAGAAATGATAACTAGCCCAATCATTTCTAAGACTCTAAAAGAAACAAATGATTGTGATCAAAACAATTTTAAAAGCATGAAAGAAGAACCCAGCAATTTTCAGTCCCATGATAAGTTCCTTATTAATTCCTTTGATGGTTATTGTACATTTGGACGAGTGTGTGGTTCAGGGTGCTCAACTACTGATCCAAATCTCCTTAATTTTCAACCCTGACGCTGAATTAGTTTTTCTCTTATTTGTTCGTTTTGAAGAAATGACGAAGACACGCAACTCAATTAAAAATCAATAGCCACGTTACGTGATCACTTAAATAAAAACATTTATTGCAACTTGGTTTGCAGGCCAAAAAAGTCAAAGAAGTTTTTCTAATAACCTTCATTTTTGTTCTTTTTGGACATGTAAAAGAAACCAAAACTAAATTACATTTAAAAGAAAATATCCATTTAGTCATGACTGTGCAAGCCATAAAGAGTGTTCCTTAAATTTAAAACTTCAGCTATATATACTTTTAATTATACAAGGAAACTGTGAAATTTTAATTATTTTTAAGTAAAAAGATGTGTAAAATAAAATATTTTATAAATACAGTTAATTTTATTTTATTTTTTCATTTTATATATTTTCTACCTTCACTTAAGGCCTGTTTGTTTATTTTCAAGTTTAGACCAATATCAATGCAAATATCTCCACTGAAAATCAAATTTTGTCAAAGGAGAAAAAAATCAATAATAACAGAAATACAAATAAACGCTTAAATGCATATTTAAAAATATAAAATATAGTAAAATCACGTTACAATGTGTTTCAACGTGAAAACTATAACTTGTATTTAGAAAAATATTAAAAAAACTTCTAAACGTGTGTATTCAATTCAGAAGTAATTAATAACGTTAAAAATATAAATTCATATGTATTCTGATGAAAAACCAGATACGCTATTATCCACATCCAAACTTAATGATCATGCCATGCTTGTGAGCTTTGTTAGATAAGATGCAGAAGGCGATATATAATAGAGAGAAGGAACTCACTTTTCAATTCGGTTTCTGAACTTTCGCAAGTACTTTTCATTGTCTTCTTCAGCAACCTTGAAGACTTTGTCAATGAACTGTTGCCTTTCATTCATGTCTAACTTTCGAACATCGACTTCCTTGTGTTGTAAAGGGGTAGGAAGATCACCCTCAGCATAAGTTTGAAGGATACTTGTTCTTAGCCTATCATAAGTGGGCAATTTCTCTATGGCAGCCCACTTGAGAGCCTCTTCATCTTCATCAACATTTGAAGTCCTTCTTGAATACCTCCCACTCGCAAACACTCCCTCCATTCCCCAACTTGACCTGCTTAAGCTTCTACTGATGCTTCTTGTTAAGTTCCCACTATCCATTTTCCCTCCTTCTGCAGTCAAAGATCAGAAAAACACAAAGGATATTACTCAGACTAAACGTAAAAGCTCCATGTTTCTAATAGCTTGGAAGAAACTAAAACACAGTGGATGATTTCTTCGCGCTTAAAACTAAGCGTGTGTTTGAAAATAGTTGGAAGTACTATAAATATAAATTCAACGTAAAAGTAATAACTTGTAGCGTTGAAATAAATCGTGAATCCACTGTCTTGTAAGCATGAATGTAAACATGCTATACATATGCAAACAAAAGATATTCAAATTATCCAAACATGAAAGATCAGGAAGGTGCTGAGTGCAAATCCTTACTTGAATGTGTTGGATTATACTCAATAAAGGGGCGGTTGGTTGTTTGGGCTTGAAACTGGAAAAGGTATCACTGGCCTTTTGACTTTTTTAGTGCATATGTTACTATTCTCTGCAAAACTTTCTCTCTTCTTTTCTTTCTCCCTATCCTGTTTTCCACTCATGAGAGAAGGTTTGCAACCAATAGATAGACCACTGAATTGAACCGAATTTCCGAAAGTGCTGTATTTATATAGTATAAGATAATGTATTATGTATTTTTAAAAGATAATATTGTGTGAGATTGACAGAGAGGGAGAGAGAGGTCCTGAAGAAAAAGATTGGTGTGGTGGCTGAATTGTCGTTAGTCTTAATCCTTTATTCAAATGAGACACTCGATGACTAACTAATTTAATAATATTATTCTCTTCAGGGTGTCACCGTCTCAAATTCAAGGAACAGAGTTCATTCAAACATGAACATTGAACAAAGGACAACATCACATCACCTCTTTCTCTCCGATTTTTATGGAACGAGAGCCCTATTGTGGAAAAATATAATCCTTCTAAATTTTTCTCATCTGAATTCAATTCAGCACATTTTTCATTTAAGCTAAACAAGAAGAAAATTTTGAAAAATAAAAGCAAACAACATTTTTTAGTATTAGTGTATTGTTACAGTTGCAGTGAAAAATTAAAGCGGAATAAAATTTTGGCTAGTAATTTGGCCAAGTAGAATATGAATGAAATGGATTAATTTCCGTATTCAGATAAATTTTCGAGTTGAAATAACAGAAATTATATAAAAAATTTGAAATAGTAGTGATGGAATGAGCAATTGTCTTCCCCCTCATCTCATTGTTTAAGTCTCCGAATGGTATTTGAGGACCTGGTCAAATGCAAGTAAGAGCAACAAAAGCCAAGAGCACAAGAGTTATGTACATTGAATAACTTGGCATATAAACTATGCATATTGAAATTATACAATGTCTAATGTCCCTGCAATTTTTAATTTAATAAGATGGAGAAACTTTATCTCTACGAAACCTGAAGTTTGACCAAGTTTCATCCTTCTCTGCTGACAGTTAAACCAAAAATTAAGAAAGGAAATACATTAAAAACAAACTTAAGCATCGAGATTGTTAGTGTGGTATATAATTAATTATCGTTTAGTGATTTGAGATTATTTTAACTACTGTTTTGGTTAAGAAACATGCATTTGCAGATACAAATATATAATATTGTGTGTATATATAGCTTTTTTTGGTTTTGTGAAATTCGATCGACATTGTTTCACTGCACCATTCTTATGTCAATTTGTTTAAACAATAATAAAATTTAAATGTACATTTCACTACATTTTCTGTTTAATACCCTTTCCTAAACAATATATAGCATATAAAAAAATGATATGAAAGAGTCATTTATCGTATAAACAATAAACCCGGTAAGAAACCAATGCTTATTGTTTATCCAACAAGATTTTCATGTGTTTCAACATGTGCAAAACTATTTACTTATTCTTGAAAGATTCTTTATTTTCAGTTAACAAAAAGTTTAAATTCAAGTGGCTAAATACACGCAATGACAAACTGTTATGTGTTTTCATGTCAGAAATTTCTTATTTAGAAATGTCACCCTAGCCTAGATGTAGATAATATACAATACATTAATATACCACCTCAACTACTAATATGAGGTAATGGTATGTCTAGATACATGACATATTGTCAAATATATGATGATAAAAAATATTCTATCCATTTTAAAATATATTGATATAAGTAACATATTATAATAATTAAATTAATAACTTTATTGTTTTGGCATAAACATTTTCTTTAATGCAAGAGTAACTATTAAGATTCTTTAACGAGAACGCCGATTAAAATTAAGCAATTTGACTTTGTCTCCGGCAACCAACCGCATGAAAGGCAACCATTGGTTGCATAATTTGTATAAATTTTTAGACGTGTTTGCTTACTATTGGAGGACCTTAAGAAAATCGAAATACAAGAATGCACAAAGAATGCAACCCCGTAACCTTAATTTATTAGGGTAGATTTTGGTACTCATACGGCAACTTTCATTAAGAGGAAAAACATAGTTAATAGTTGTAAGTGCACTTTCACATACGGGCAAACATATATGATACTAATATGACAACTTGGTCGACTTGTTTGATTCATTCCTTATTCACGACAACTATCTCATTCTATAATTTATTTTAGCAACAGCAATAATTTCTTATGCTTTCTTAAATGAAGAAAACAATAACTAGTAATACATGTCCATATCACTCTTAATGTTTTCTTTCTTTCTAGAAACCCTTTCGTCATCGTGCTTTGAATTTTTATGTCCATTAAATGGTCGTTTTGACCAAAGTGTTGGCACAGAAACTATGTCGTGTAGTATTATAGGCTATAATTTTTTATTTAGTAAAATTTTTAAAAAGTGTTAAACTATCTTAACTTTATACTTTTCATAAACAACTATTATACTTCTACATTAATTTACTCATACGCACAATTTCTACTCACCTCTCTTTTTTATAATCTTTTCTTCTATTGTGTCTCTTATTTTAATTCTCTTTTTATTTTTATTTTCTCCACCTACTTAGTATCCTAAAATAAAGTATCATTCTTTTAAAAAAGAAATTTTTAATTTTAGCCTCGTGTGTATATTATATATAAATTATAAAATCTAAATTGTAAACTTTTTTATTTTAAAAAAATATTATCAACTTTAGTGATCGCGAAGTATTTATTTCGGTTGAGAAAAAAAAATAAAAGATAACTTATGTAGTTGAAGAAAAAGAAAAAACATAATACAACTCGCGTAAATACCTTTATTCTCATTCGAAGAAAGTGGAGAGGAAGATATTTGATTATATAACCATTATTTTACTTTTATTTGCCGACTTTATTATTATCATATGAATATAATTTAAATTATTAAAAATATATATTTTAACACTATTATTGAAAAGTGAATCGACATATGAACAAGAATAAGCTCGATTTTTCAATCAAATAAATAATCAATTAAAGTTTTTTTTTTTGGGAGGGTGAGTATTAATTATGCGAATCAGCTGAAATAAGGAAACATGACACTAACAGTAAAGATTGAAACAAAAATCCAATGATAAATAGCAGTAAAATGATTTTTAGAGAAAATTAGAGTAAAGAAACGTAATCAATCAAGATTTTCATTTCTTAATTATTTTACATCTAATTTTCACTTTCTTTTATCTAGACACTCATCGTCTCTGTTAACATTAAAATTGCAGAAATAATTACTACCACTAATGAATTATCAAGTGTGGTGAATGAATTTTTTTTTTTTCTTCCTGAAATGGCACAACTACATATTTTATTTTATGCATAGTTATTTTTACTGGGCAAATTATTTTTAGTATTTTTAGTATCAAACAATCACTTTCTCTTTGATGAATGAATTCCCCCATTGCCACCCAAACATGCACTCACGTCAGCTTTAGAAATTGATGAGAAAAATCATGAAAGTAGTGAATCAGTGTGGTAAATAAATGAGACAATTGTCAACCCTATGTCCTGTCCTGAGTTGCCCACTTCATCATTCCAAACCAGAAAACACAGAAAAATATTCAGTTAGACTAGTTAACTCTTTCCTTTTTTCCTTTAATGAAGGAATTCACAATAACCACATCACATAAACTTTGAATTAACAAATGTAATTAAGACACTAACCTTTTATAATTTTTATACAATTTTACGGTGATTTTTAATGAAAGAAATAATTATCATACAAAATTGCTAATTGTTATAAGTCACAATATGATTACAGTTTTAATTTTGAATGAGTTTATAGAGAGACTTGATTAATCTTAAAAGAATTTTAATTTCGGTACATTTATTTTTTTCATTTTATATATTTTCCATTTCACCTCATACACTAAACATGTACTCGTCTTTATCCTTTCAGAAATGTCAACGCAAGGGAGAGAAAAGAGTTCACAACGCAGACGGCAGTATTCGATAATTAATGCCTCAAATCTGGAGCATTTAAAAGTGTAATTAACATTTTTTTTAACGTGTACAGATCATATGAAATATTAAACAAAGTTTGTTAAATATTTTAATTATTATTATATATTATATTTTTTAATTTTTAATATGTATTTTTTGAAACCTACTAAAAAAATACATAATTAACAATGCTTAGTCAAATTTCAATCTCCAAGATGGGGGAAGCAAGATCCCTGATTTCTTTTCTATTAAATGATTGGCGTGGAAAATTATCATTGACGAGACCTCAAAAAATTAATGTCATTTTTTGGCCTTATCTAGGGAGGTGCACAAGTGTACATTTAATAAAATATTTTGTTAACCATTATTTTAAAAATGTTAGTTAAAAAATCATAAATAATTATTAAATTATACTGAAATATAGTAAAAAAATATTAGAAATGGTTTTATGTTCATATTTTTTTTAATAAAACATTTTTAATTCATTTTTTATGAATAAAATAAAGATGTGTCCTTGAGACATTGTATAAAGGAAAAACAATAGTAATATTCGTATTATGACTGGTCAACATTACATGTAAACCATAGATAGGGAAGAGTAAGTTGTACTTCTGACACTTTATTTATGCACAGAGCCACCCAATAGTTAGGACTTGACTTGAGACTGACTCCATCAAGCAAGCTACACCATCTTTTAGGATTTTGGAATATTGTGGGAAGTGTAAGTTTAAGTGATATTTTTTCATATTGTTTTAAATAATTTGAGAGTAAAATTCTTTAGTTTATTTATTTTTTTATATATATTACTATATTTTATATCGTAAGAAGATCCATCATGTTCATGCATAAACAAATGGAAGCATGAGAGTTGAACTTGTAGCTAGTAAACTTTTTATTATAACGAGAAGACGAAGCTTTTTATGTGAATACACTTTGCATGTTAATATCATAATCCACAGTGAAACGCTGAAGGACGTAGGCAAGAATGGTCTTTTCAACTTATGACTCCAAATATTCAACTTTGGCATCCTTCTTATCAATTCTCGATGGCGTTTGGTCAGCAGTTCAACACAATTTTTCTGTCAACTCTTTACATTTACGTGCAAGTGAAATTAGTCTCTAAGTTTAAAACATGTTTTATTAACTTCTCCTTGTAAGTTGAGTTTAAAAATTTCAAATATGATTTGGTTTATTAATTAAATTTTTTTATATCTCTAGT